TTCGAACATTGAGATTCTTGTGGTTATATCAGGTGGATACTCTTTATATTACTCTGATCCCCCAAGTTATTTGGTTGACCCTGCAGTATATTTCACACACAAGTAGGTTATCCATCAGTATCTGTAGTTTTAACTGCCTAATAAAGTTATGATTATGATGATATAAAATACATTACATGTCCGAAAGTAAGTATTGAATATATATTGGACTTTATTGGAACTCTGTGATATTCATTTTGAGTGTGTTTTATGTTAGCAGATTGTATTTAACACTAAAGTTAATTCAGTGACTTCAGAAATAATATCAGTTAATATCCCACAATATATATATATGGATGTCATATATATATATATATATATATATATATATATATATATATATATTGTGGGATATTCACTGATATTATATATATATATAACATAACATGATTGATACAAATACAGATGATGCTTCTGATGAGTGAACTTGAAAGAGGCACCTCCACTGTGAACGTCAACACCACAGAGCTGACCTCAGATCTCACAAAGACAATCAACCTCATAAGTGCATTTGCCAACAGCCTCACCAACAGCTCCCTGTCTGCAGACAACTTTGTCAATGTCGCTGGATTCCAGAATGTTCTGAACAAGTTCCAGAGCACTATCATGCAGAAACTCATCCAACTGTCATCTCAACTGTGAGTTCCATTTGGAACAATTGCAAAATAATGTTTTCTAGAAACCATAGCAAAATATGGTCCAATATCCTCTAGAAACCATGGCAAAATGATGTATGATATCCTCTGGAAACCATGGCAAAATGATGTCTGATATCCTCTGGAAACCATAGCAAAATGATGTCTGATATCCTCTGGAAACCATAGCAAAATGATGTCTGATATCCTCTGGAAACCATGGCTAAGTGATGTCTAATATCCTCTGGAAACCTTTTATACCATAGCGATGTCCAATATTCTCTAGAGACCAGAGCAAAATTATGTCCAATATCCTCTAGAAACAATAAAAAAATGATGTCCAATTTTCTCCAGAGACCATTGCAAAAGTATGTCTAATTTGTACCATGTTCCACACAGGTCTACAGGCATCAGCACACTCCTCTGGCCATCCATCCCCGACCCTGATGCTGCCAGCTCCATGGCCCGCTCCATCAACACCATGAAGGTGATCATGGATGTCATCAACAACAGACTAGAGGACATTAAAGGTACTTTATGTTTCCTTTGTTCATGATCAAGTTAAGTATGAAAGGCTTTTCATAAGGTGTCTGGCAGTTGACGGGGAAAAAAGAGCTTTGATTGATTGATTGTAAGTTTGTTTCCCTCCAGGTGGCAACATCTCCCTTAATACACTGGCTGGCAAATCCCCTGCTCTGTTGGCACTGATGGAAGCCTACATAAATGTCACAAAATTTGGACTACAGGCCTGGATGGATGGGCAGATAGACATGCAGAGGGTATGATCAATATGTTGTATAAGTCAGTGCTGTATCTGTTAAGAAGCTACATTTCTGTAAAGCTTGATCAGATGACTATATATGAGACTATATACCATACTTAACATATCAAGTTCTGTGATCATTTCCTGGTATTAGGCACCTCCATATGTTTTGAAAGCAACATGTCAAGTGTCTTTTATCTGGAGAAGCACATAGATATTTCCTTTCTGTTTTTATCATTTTGATATCTTTAAAACACTTCTGTAGATCCTTAATCAGGATCCAAACCTATCTAGCATAGCACATGTCAAATTGAACGATCTTGGATCCACAAACTTAAAACAATGGAACGTTTTGGTATTAATGATATTTGTACCCTTATTATTCCCCAAACCCCCTTTTTGAAGTTTATCCTGGTTCAACTAGTGAATAAGTGCTGAATGTTTTATGTGTCCTGGGTGCTCAGTATGTTGATATGGTATTTGTTCCCTGTTAAAATGAAATATAATTAAGAGCAAAGTATAAAATTTTTTGTCTTCCAATGCAATGTTCCTTGTTCCTTACCAGATCATTGAACTGATGAGTGACCAGTCTATGGTGACCTCACGGTGTCAGGCTGGAACAGTGGCAGCATTCATCTCTAACAGCACCACCCCCAACACCGTGGTGAGGAACCTGCAGACAGTCCTCTGTACCTACATGACGGATCTCCCCAGGGAATTCAGCAGTCTCGTGGATTATCAGCAGATACAACAACAGGTCATCCTTCAGAGTTCTTTCACATTAGTGCCCTCCATTTTCTCAAAAATCTCCCACCTCTCCTCAATTATTTTTGGGGGTTGTGTTGGATTCAGTGAATTTGAAATAAATTATTAATCTTTATTGGCCTCAGTAAATATGTTTTGACTGTATACGGTACCAAGACTGGAAAATGAGTATCTGTAAAGACCCCAGTGTAACCTGTGCTTGTTATTTTTCATCCGTCCATAGATATCTGACATCTGGAACTCCACAGTTGTGGTACGTCCTGACTTCGCAGGGTACTCGGCCAGTGTGGAGAGGTTCAGCCAGCTGGTGACTCAGATAGCCCAGAGCAACATCCAGCTGTCACAGGGACTCAAGAATACATTTGACTTCTCCAGCCTACTCAACTCTCTCAATAATTTGGTGAAAGATCCTTCTTTGTAAGTTAATGTCTAACAATACCCACATCACATCCTCGATACTCCAGGGCCAGCATTTCTGTAAACCTACACTAACCCCTGGACACAGTCCTGTAGTTCTTGCTATCTCAAATTAACCTCCCTTGATTTCCTTTAGCCAGTTTGATTGGCTACAGTACTTGGCCTAACGTACCAATCAGAATGTGAGTTACAAACCAGCTTTCCGAGGCAAGAGAGTTTACTGACTTTAAAAGTCCAGTTTCCACCCTTGCTGAACTAGGCTGGAATTACTGGGCTCGATCACCACCAGTGGCTATTACCGGTTATGTCCCTTCTAAGCCTCTCCTATGGACCAATCAGATTCCACCTCTTGTATCACTTGCATTTGCTTCACGAAAAATGGTGGTGCCAAGTCAGGACAATCTGATCGATAATCAAGATCTATATTGTGATAAAACGGGTCTTACATTGCGAAATGCATCAAATCATTTGAGCACCTTGATTAAAAACATGAAAAGATTTGGAAAATATCTGCTGACAACGAGTTGGCGTTGCACATGCTTTGCAAATCCTGCAATTGATCGAAATCTGCACGACAGTTTACGAACCAGATTTCGATTTCGTTGCGAGATTTTGACTGGACTATGCATAGACTCGTTAGTCAAGCCAAAATGTAACACCATAATACCAGCCTAGTTCGGCAAGGCTGGAAACTGGACTTTTATAGTCAGTTAACCCTCTTGCCTCGGGAAGATAGCTCAATGTTGTGTTAGCCAGTCGCATTGATGATGATCGTGAAATTCAACATTGAAAAACTGAATGACATGCAAAACAAAGCCCTCAAAAATCTTTTTGATGGAAAGGATGTGTTCATGTCAATTAACATTGGCAGTGGGTTTGCTCCCTTAACGTATCCCTTATGTTGACGTTTGATTGGTTAGTAAAATATTTATGAAAATCAAGGGCGGGTAATTTGCAATCGCAAGAACCACGGGAATTGATCAAGGGCTTTGTGTAGGTTTACCGAAATGCTAGACCTGGAGATATAGAGGATGCCCACGTCAAGGAGACACGTCATGAAATAACTTACTCAAATTTCAATCATGAAACTTACACAAGTATGTTGTAGTTAAATCCTTGCAAACCATTGTGGCATCATGAATTCCCATGACATCACAATCCCATAATATTACTTATATCTGTGCCACTCAAGCTGTACCTGTTCTATTTACACTCCAAACACTGCTTATTAGTTGACAGTAAAAATTGAAGAATGATTTTGGTTGATAAATAGAATCTCGCCATTGTGTCTTCCAAGGTCAAATATATCAAGACTTGTTGATGAAGTAAAAATATCCTCAACAAACCTTTTATATTTGTAACTTTTATCAACTCATCTTGATATATTTGATCTCAGAGTATACACGAGTAAGATTATCTATCTATAACCATTGTGTGTAATCGTACATTGACAACATTGATACTTGTTACCAACTACTGGCTTCCATCATCTTTCTGAGGCAAGGGTGTTAACTGACTACAAAAGTCCAGTTTCCACCCTTGCTGAACTACACTGGAATTTCATGCTCGATCGTAGCGCCACCAGAGGCTATTACGAGTTATGTCCCTTCTATGTCCCTTATGACCAAACAGATTCCACCTCTCATATCACTTGCATTTGCTTCAAACAAAAAGGACAGTGCCTAGTCAAGACGATCTGATTGACAATCCACATCTATGGTGTAATAAAATGGGTCCTATCTTGTGAAGTGCATCAAATCATTTGAGCACCTTGATTAAAAACAAGAATAGATTAGGAAAATATCTGCCGATGCCCAGTGACGGTACACATGCTCTGCATATCCTGCAGTCGATCAAAATCTGCACGTTGACATCCATGTTGTTTATGAACTGGATGACTAGTTCATTGGGCAATTTTGATTGGACTATGCATAGACTCATTTGTACCGCCAAAATATAACTCCATAATTCCAGCCTAGTTCAGCAAGGGTGGAAACTGGATTTTTAAGGTCAGTGAATTCCCTTGCCTTGGGAAGATGGGGTTCCATACAACAAACTTGATTATTCACAGGCAGCCATTTGTAATTTTCTGACTGAGGTGAACATAAACATTTAATCACTCAGAGAGAAATGTAAATGTGAAAATACTTTATTTAATCCGATTTAGAATTTGGTAATTGGTATAAATACAAGATACATGGACATAAACGTATGTATACACAATGGTTTGATGCTACATCTGGCCTCTTGCTTCGAGTGACTGATATATGTATTCAAGCAATGCTGGTGTCTATGTAAATACATTTGCTTTTGACAATAATGTGCACCTCTTCCATGCAGGATCTTCACCCTCTTGAAACCTTTTGGCCTGGTGTTGGACAAGCCCCTACAGAACGATGTAGCGAGGAGCATCTTCAGCGGCATCGACTCCCTCATGCTTGTCCCAGTGTCTCACTACTTGCAGATCCTCAGTGGTAAGTACAGGAGGAGATTGATATGTAGCCAGCACATGGTGATGGAGTAATGTCAATGTATATATGTACTCAGCACATGGTGACGGAGTAATGTCAATGTACATATGAACTCAGCACATGGTGATGGAGTAATGTCAATGTATATATGTACTCAGCACATGGTGATGGAGTAATGTCAATGTACATATGAACTCAGCACATGGTGATGGAGTAATGCAATGTACATATGTACTCAGCACATGGTGATGGAGTAATGTCAATGTATATATGAACTCAGCACATGGTGATGGAGTAATGTCAATGTATATATGAACTCAGCACATGGTGATGGAGTAATGTCAGTGTACATATGTACTCAGCACATGGTGATGGAGTAATGTCAATGTATATATGAACTCAGCACATGGTGATGGAGTAATGTCAGTGTACATATGTACTCAGCACATGGTGATGGAGTAATGTCAATGTATATATGAACTCAGCACATGGTGATGGAGTAATGTCAATGTATATATGTACTCAGCACTTGGTGACAGTAATGTCAGTGTATATATGTACTCAGCACATGGTGATGGAGTAATGTCAATGTATATATGAACTCAGCACATGGTGATGGAGTAATGTCAGTGTATATATGTACTCAGCACATGGTGACAGAGTAATGTCTTATGGTATTCTTAGGGAATGCCATTTCTGAGAATCGAAACCTTTAAGGCTGATTATTGTATCCAGTTTATGAATGCTTGAACAAATTCTACCATTAGCTTATATGTCAGTATTAAGCAAACAGCCATTTGTATGTGAAGAATTTGCTCGGTCTTGTCAATTTTAGAATGTTAAAATTCAATTCTAATATTTCCATATCAGTATGAGAATAATATTACAGCAATGACTTATACATTCCTCACTCAGAGCATATATATAATGTGTGTATTTGAATAGTAATGATCTGTGGCTTCAGATAATGGCCTGTCTTTCTCATCCATACTGACTGATCCAATGAAGATGATCAAGGCAATGGGTATCATGGCAGACTTTGACACACAGATAAGTCTGTCCGTAGAAATTGTTGCTAAACCAATGGTAAGTGGAAACATTTCACTAATTTATTATCCCTCGCTGCCCTTGGCAGTGTCCTTGAAGTTGCATATCTTTTAGCCTATGTCATAATGTGTAATGATTTGAATATTGAACTTAACAATCCATTTTCTTTTCACTATTTTCCTTCCTTTCTTTCTCTTAAGTTTGGAAAAATATCATTGTTATTCTTTGTAAGCTTTAATTTTAAGAAGAGTTCATAAATAAAATTTATGTTTGCTTTTTCAGTTCAAACATATTGCTAAAAATACTGACTTCATTACCAACATTCTGTGCAACACGACCCTGGTGGAGTCTTACATCCTCCCCCTTGTCACCCCTGGCATTGCCAACATCCTCTGTCACGACCATCCCACCATGTGGGTTCCCAAACTCCGACAACTGGGTCTAGGGAACGTGGAGATATATGGGCTGGCTGGGAAGGTGAGACTGCGAATATTCCAACTCTACTTGTGCATTGCTCATTTCTCTTGAACTGAAACTTTAATTAATACTAACAGATTGAAATATTCTAGCCAAGAATCAACTTTTGATGCAAAAGATATGATGTCACAGTTGCATATTGAAAAGCACCAAATGTCTAACTCTGTTGTCCTCTAACTTTTGGAATAGTCTATTATTCAGTATCTATTGTGTTCTCTGCCTTAAATGTATTGCCATTCATACTGTAAATACTGTACAGTAATTGCAACTGTACGTTTTGTGACCTATCACTAAACTTGAAAGGGGTGATTGATATGTTCTAAGCCTCACATGAAAAGAATTTCGTAACAGTGAAATCTTTTGTTGTGGACAATTCATGTCACAGAGGTATTTCCACACAAACTTTAATTGAATGCATTGTTTCACTGTGACAAGTCAGAGGTGGTTATTGTGATTTGAAACTTGACTAATCATAAGAGAATATTTTCAAAATTTATAGTTGATTATATTATTCATATTCTTAGACTGAGTCATCCATAGCACAATAATGACAATTAACCTGACCTAAATTGTCTCCATCTTTGAAATAGGTTGACTTGTGGATTTCAACTTTTCTGGTCTTTCAATGTGATTTTGGTACATGTGCTGGCACAGTGCATATAACGATACTTTCATCTGTACTGAAATGTTACACTGACAAAATAAAAAAAGTTGAATCTTTAGTCCACCCTGTCAACATTGAAAGAAATGGGTTGTCTTCATCTTAGATGAAGTACAGATGTGCTCTTGTTTGAGTTTTATTAAGTCATAAGACATCCACTTTATGCAGTAATTAATTGCTATGTAAATTTTGTCATTGTTTCAGTTATCCAGCCTCCAATTAAAATATCATTTTGACACTACGTGTTCATGGGACTGCCCACAAGATGGACTTTGTCCTCCGGTTCAGTGCAATATCAGTGTCTGGAATCCTCTGACAAGCGACATCACATGGGTACAATTCCTGTCTGACATGGAGAAGATGACCAAACTGTTCCTGTCTGAGAGCGGTGGAGTGATGACAATGAATATGACAGCCATCAAGGCTGGAGAAAGCTTAGAAGCAATTTGGAACAGTATTGGAAAATCTGTCCTTGGAAACTTGTTAAAAACGTGGGTTAATTTTGTGAATGAAAAAGACATGTATCTTGCTCTTTGCTTGAACACTTGTTACGAACTTCACCATTGTTAGTCTTGTTAGTCAGAGCCTGTGTGACACTACAGCTCCATCTGTGCAGAGTTATGTGACCTAGTGTGTCAGGATCTGCTGATTATGGTTTTGAATCCCTGATTTTACCTAATTATCATCTTTTGTCAGTCAGCACTGTAACATGATCATGGGTTTATCAATGTGGTAAACATTGGTTTGTGTCTCTGTGGGCTTTCCTCTGCATAGCAGGGCGTTGGGATGGCCTAGTGGTTATAGTGTTCACTCACCATGCCGGAGACCTGGGTTCGATTCCCACATGAGTACAATGTGTAAAGCCCATTTCCCGTGTCCCGCGCTGTAATTATGCTGGAATATTGCTAAAAGCGGTGTAAAAACCATACTCACTGACTTCTTCACATAGCTAACGTGCAGTGACATAACTGAAATAATGCTAATGACATATTCCTCTGATCCCACCAACAGTAATAATGTGTTTCAAAACCATGTCATTGTGATGCTTTTTATGCTCATTTTTATGATGATTATAATATGAAACTAAAAATACCATTTTTGACAGGTGTTAATGTTATTGGTAATGAATATGTAATGTTTTATTTCCATAACTAATCTCCATGAGTTCTCTCATAGTTTGTTGTCATGTGATGGCAAATTTGATGATTCATATAATGGTAGAAACTAACTGTTTATCACAAACATTCTTCTTTGATGTAGGTCAATTGTGTCATGAGGATTTGTTTAGTAAAGGAATGATAATGTTTGTGTTACAGGTCATTTGGTGTGATGAAGGGAGTGGACATTCAAACGTCAGGTCAAACATGGTCCAGATTTAAACAGATAATTCACTTTGTGGGGACAATGAATTCTTACCTTAATGGCATGCTTGAGAAGTTCACCAGTAAGTGCTCCAACAAGGCTGTGGATTTATTGCCTACTACAAGAGCAGACAGCTTTGTCTTCCTTGATCACCATATAACAACATGCACTAATGTGCACTCATCTCATACAAGTTGCTGTCTTTATCATCATATAACAACATGCACTAATGTGCACTCATCTCATACAAGTTGCTGTCTTCATCATCATATAACAACATGCACTAATGTGCACTCATCTCATACAAGTTGCTGTCTTTATCATCATATAACAACATGCACTAATGTGCACTCATCTCATACAAGTTGCTGTCTTTATCACCATATAACAACATGCACTAATGTGCACTCATCTCATACAAGTTGCTGTCTTTATCATCATATAACAACATGCACTAATGTGCACTCATCTCATACAAGTTGCTGTCTTCATCATCATATAACAACATGCACTAATGTGCACTCATCTCATACAAGTTGCTGTCTTTATCATCATATAACAACATGCACTAATGTGCACTCATCTCATACAAGTTGCTGTCTTTATCAAAATACACATTGAAACATTGAAAGCATTGAATTTGAAACCCCTGGAAATATAGTCCTTGGAAGTACATGAGCATGCAATCTTTTATTTATCATACAATGTGCATCATTGTTAAATCCACTGAGCCAGTCTTCTCCTTATTTCAGACTCCACATCTGAAATATACCTACAAGATGTCTTCCCAGACTCAAAGCAAGTTGCCAAACTCCTTGCTGCAGCTGTTGGTCAAGACACTGCTGCTGAGTTTCTTACTGCTCTTTTTAACCCTCTCAAAGTAAGTACTAAAGAGGGGACAAGTGACTGTAGTGTTTAACTCCCAGCTTTGAAAATATCTTTTGAAAATATAACTTTTCAAAGCTGTGTTAAAACTATCTCAATCACTCACTCACTCACTCACTCACCCAGTGAATCCTTTGGATCAGTGTTTTGTCCTGTGTTGATTCCAGGTAAGAATATAGGTGCCCAGGTATTTATGCTTGTGTAAGAGGCGACTAAGAGGATTGGGTGGTCAGTCTTGATGACATGGTGGATTGTATATTATTACATGCATGGATTGATTCACAATCATTGGATTGTCAGGTCCAGGTTCAATTATTTACAAACCACCATCATGTGACTGAAATATTGCTTAGTGTGGTGTTAAACAACAAACAAACATTAGTTTTCTTAAGCTTATCTCCTGAATGCGTGGTAAAATAAGAAAAAAAAAGTTGTTCCCATTTTGACCGATGCATTCTTGATCTGCAATGAATATCTCATGGGCATTTGTTATCTTAAATGCCAACAATGTTTGGAATGAAAGTAATTAAAGGCAGACCTCATTGGATTGAATGTCATTAAAGGCAGATCTCATTGAATTGAATGTCATTAAAGGCAGATCTAATTGGATTGAATGTCATTAAAGGGTGCTATCATTGGATTGAATGTCATTAAAGGGTGCTATCATTGGATTGAATGTCATTAAAGGGTGCTATCATTGGATTGAATGTCATTAAAAGGTGCTATCATTGGATTGAATGTCATTAAAGGGTGCTATCATTGGATTGAATGTCATTAAAAGCCACTATGAGTGTCATTAAAGGCCTCTATGAATGGGTTGAATGTCATTAAAAGAGCTATTACTGGATTGAATGTCATTAAAAGGTGCCATGATTGGATTGAATGTCATTAAAAGAACTATCATTAAGTTGAAAGTCATTAAAGGCAGCTATCAGAAGGATCAGTCAAAGATTTACGCTTGTCCAAGTATGGCTATACAGGTGTGGCTATACTAGACCAATATCTAAGTAGTGCTCATAGTGTTTTCCTTCTTTACAGATCTATGACCAGCTGGCCAATCCTGCCACTTGGGTCAACATTTTCTGTGACCCTGTCTTGTTTAATTCAACATTTACATTCCCTTCGGGCACACACGTTGGTGCCATTCAGACCGCAATGTGCACCATGGCTGTCAACCAATCTTCCAGTATGGAACAACTTATTAATCTCTTTGATGCTGGAAAGGTCCTGAAAGAGGTAGGCTTTCTTTTCAGTATACCAATACTAAACAAATTACTTTTAAATAAACATTTTGACATCTACTAGTGTTTGTTAGCTACTATTTCAATAGTTCAATAGTTGATTACAATAAATAATAATAAATGTTCTTTGTACTTTCCCCCTACATTGTCCCCCCACCCCCACCCCCACCCACCACCCCCCATTCATAGTATCTTGCTGTTCCTAGATAATGAACATTGTAACAACTTTGCAGCCATCACAAGAACTAGAGACTGCCCTCCCTCCTGACTCAATGTTTAACAAAAACCTACTCTAGTTCTTGAGAAATGACCAGGCATAAAATGTTATTTCTGTTATTTCATAAGCATATACTGCATTACAGTTACAAGCAGTGATGGCATCTCAACCATCCAACACCACATACGGCATGTCTTTATGGGACAGAGTCTACAATACCACAACTCGACTAATCAGCAACCTGGAGAAACTTCAGCACGTCAGGGTGAATGGCACTGCTACCATGTCATGGTTCAGTCCCATCCTGGCCACACTACAGGCCCTCCAGAACCCAACCATGAGCAGGTAGGCCAACACAGGGGTCCTCCTTCATCTTCCCATGTCTTTAAGCACTTTCATCCTACACTCCTGGATGCCGTTCCACAAAGCGAATAATGGCACTAAGACAATTCTTCAACATACTTTAACATTACAGTCGTAGTGCTATGATTGTTTTGTTTTACAGGGCACTGAGGCTTGTCAGAGAGGCTGATTGAGGGATGCACTAAATGGGCTCATTAGGAACCCAGTTTCTCAAGCTTTTAAAAATCAGGCTTCTAATGCTAGGATGTCATATGGTGAAGTGAATAACATGAATACCCTATTCAGGCACAGTATACCTACTCCAAGCGGACCAGTCTTTGTATTAGCACCTAAATGCTGAGCTCCAGACAGGGTTACAACAAGTTCCATTTTTTTACATCTTTTGGTATGACATGGCCAGGGATCGAACCCTGAGCCTTCCGCCCTCCCAACGGATGTTCTACCACTAGAGGGGGTGGTTGGAAGCCATAAAGACTGAGGAGTATTATAGTGAATAACCTCCACAACATTACAGATGATTTATCTTTAGTGAAGTAATACTTTTCATTACTTTTGATATTTACTAGTGAGGGACAGATAAGCCAAGTTGTGAGTAGGTTATTTTATATGTTTACAAATGTTGTTTTTCCAAACAAATAGAAAATAATTGCTTTTGCCAATCTCAAACTGAAACAGAATACATGAACTATCCAGTCAGCATGAAGCAATTATAACAATTCTTAGTGAGACTGAATTGCAGAGATATATTTCCTTAATACCTGTACTCCTATGGGTAACGTGGAGAGTATTGGAGTATACAGATTGATTCAAAGAAATGCAGTGAAAAACAATTGTTTATGGCAGTGATGATGCCAACTGCAATGATGCTTGTTACCAGTCTACACAGTGTGTCCCCCCTACTTTCAGTGGCCTAGCAGTCTGCAATGACCTTGTGACCTACCTGGGAGGAACGGACATGTTCCGTGAAGTTCAGACAATCATTAGTCAGACTGTTTTCAACATCAAGCTGATTGCAGATCAGATGCCTTTGCTTGAAGGTTAGCATGGATTAAAAATCTTATATTTTTTCAAAGGACATTCTTCAGAATGAGAATCAATTAACCGCATAAATGCAACTTTATGAGACTTTTGTTCATGTTGTAGTAGTTTTGAACTTATGCGCATGATTCTTAAACTTAAGATTTCCATAAATAAATGACAAAATAGAAAGACATTTTATATGTATTTTAAATGTAACAAAATGTTTAAGACAAACATATTTTGGGGAGTTTTATCTGCAATTATTTTTTTTTAGTGGCTGATGATTTTGTGTGTACTCTGGTGCGAGACGCGAACCTCAAAGGTGCTGTTGATATACTGAAAACCACCGGAATCTTTGATTCTCTGACTCAGGTAATACCAACCTACTGGCTGTAGAATGACATATTCCCCAGATGGATAGTGAGATAGTTCCCCAGATGGATAGTGAGATAGTTCCCAAGGTGGACAGTGAGATAGTTCCCCAGATGGATAGTGAGATAGTTCCCCAGATGGATAGTGATATAGTTCCCCAGATGGATAGTGAGATAGTTCCCAAGGTGGACAGTGAGATAGTTCCCCAGATGGATAGTGAGATAGTTCCCCAGATGGATAGTGAGATAGTTCTCCATCTCACATGATAGGAATATGTATATAGTTTCTGTACATATATTCTTTTAAAAACATTTCATATGCTTTCATGCCTGTAAGTTTCTTAAGAAGTTTTGTCCTTGGCCAGACCATGCAGGCAACCTTTTTCATGAATCTTTTGTTTACCTTGATATGATCTGTCTTCATATATAGACCCCAAACTGTTCATAAAATGAATCTGATTATGAGTCATGAATTCTTTCAAATTCTAAAATGATGCTAAAACACATGCAATAATGGCAATTGATGTTGATATAATACAATTATTTTCTGCTTCTTTACTAAATGAACTAAAATAATTTTGTTCCATGCCTGTGCCATTGTATGCCATGATTTTTCACCAAAGCTTTAATGTCCAGTCTGCTGTTCTGGTTTCAAGAGCAAATAATTGTATGATGCTAAAGCAGTACTGTCTTATTCTAACCACTAGACAAATCCCACAATGAACCCCAGAGGCACAGATGGCCTCCAGTGCTCTGTGGTGCTTCAGACAGGGATGAACCTGTGGAATGTCATCAACAGTACCTTCATCATGGGCAATGGTCCAGATTGGGACCAGATGGGACAGTGTTTTGTGGACAGTTCCAAGAACTTCCGTTCCTTTGCTGCTGGCCTTAACAGGTGATTGCCTTGTAGAGTCTTGATCCATGAGAGGTGGCTGGTTCATAGTAGCATTCTTGGTTGATGGTACTTAGACTAGCATATGTAGATAGTACATGATACCATTTCTAGTTGATGGAACTTGAGGACATTTGTGCTAGATTACGAATAAGAGTATTCTTGTTAGATGGTCCATGAGGACATTTGTGCTAAATCACGAATAAGAGCATTCTTGTTAGATGGTCCATGAGGATATTTATGCTAGATCACAAATAAGAGCATTCTTGTTAGATGGTCCATGAGGACATTTGTGCTAGATCATGAATAAGAGCATTCTTGTTAGATGGTAAATGAGGACATTTGTGCTAGATCATGAATAAGAGCATTCTTGTTAAATGGTACACAAGATTATTCTTTGAATAAGACACATGCTGCAAAACAAACAAGAAGCTGATGAACATAATAGTGAACTAACTCTTCTCTTCCTATTTTCAGTGCTTTCAGTATCGCCACTGATGTTATGTCCCTTATCCAAGATCCATCTCTCAAACAGTTGCTTAATGCACAAGGAGGTCTAACACCAGTCTTGGATTTTGTCCTAAGAGTCTTCACGGAACAAAGAACCGGTATGTGTAGTTGTATTGGATGTATGTAATAACTGTTAAAAAGATACTAAATAAAGAATTCTAAATCAGTAAAAAAATGGTATTGTAATATTAATATGAAAAATATGTTAAATTTTTCTGATGCACAAAAAACATATACTCTCAAATTGATTTTTCAAGAAGCAAACCTCCATGTTATAAAAACTAATAAATAATGATGTGTTGTTACTTTCAAAGATGTAAACATTTGTTGTAGGTTGACGTTTGTTCTGTTATTTTTATATAAAATCTGAAGCAAAATTATTTCATCTAAACCAACCCAGGCTTCTCCCGGTGTAAACTGGTCGGTCCCTGAATAGGCTTGTCTTTACCTTCTTGTCAGTGCTACAATTCACATCACTTAATAAAGTTACAAAATGGTGTCTCATCACTGATATGATTTCGTTTCAGTTCTGTTGAAGTTCTCTGACCTGTTGAAGAATGACACCACAGTACAGGACTACCTCACAGGGATTCTCAAGCTGTCCCCAGAGCTAGTGACCTCCATCCTCAAGTCCTCCATCAACCTGGATTCGGTACAGAATCTAAAACAATCTCATATCACATTGTCTGTTACTTAACAATTTCAAGGAGCAGTAGTATGGGTATTTGCATATGTAGAACACATATATACTAAAAACCCATCAGGATTCGATATTGCTAATGATTATGTAGATGGTGTCTTAAATATCTGTTCCATATTGGACCGCCTCCGTGGTCTAGTGGTAGACGTCTGCCCGGAGAGCAGAAGGTCCGGGGTTCGATACCTGGCCGCATCATACCAAAAGAGGATAAAAGATGGTACTTGTTGTCACCCTGTCTGGTGCCTGGCATTAAGGTGCTAAAACATGGACTGGTCAGTTCGGTGTCAGTATACTGTGTCTGATTGGGGTATTCATGTTAAACTGCGGCTTGTTGTCTCTGTGCTAGCACTATAAATCGGCATCAGTCCAGACTAGTACCAGCAGCCACACACACACACACGTGCATGCACGTCACAATGTTACTGCAATAACGAGACGTTACATATTGGCACCTTTCCAAGAAGTTGAATATTGTGAAATGACTTTTAATTGTATTACTCTTCAAATGGCAACAAATTCAATCTGTTCTATTTAATGTATACACTTTGCCACTATCATGCTATATGATGTAAATGAGGAGGGTTTTGTTCTGTGTAGGCGATGTTCCTGAACCAGCCTGTGGAGCAGATCCAGGAGATTCTGTGTAACGCCACACGTCTGGGGCAAGTCCTCACCCTCCCTGACTTCACCGTTGACATCCCCACCCTCAGCCGACTCATCTGTACAAACGATTCCCTGACCACAGCCTCAGCCCTGAAGAGCGCAGCTGAAGCAGCTACCATTATACAGCAGGTGGGAGCTGGCAATGTCTATCTTGCATCTGTCTCGCATGTTTGTCATGTCAACTTTATATGTGTCTCACATGTTTGTCATGTCAGGTACATATATCTCTCACATTTTTATCATATCAACTACATATATGACTCACATTTTTATTATGTCAACTACATATATATCTCACATGTGTGTCATGTCAAGTACATATATGTCTCATGTTTGTCATGTCAACTACATATATCTCTCACATGTTTGTCATATCGACTACATAAGTCTCATGTTTGTCACGTCAACTACATATATGTCTCACATGTTTGTCATGTCAGGTACATATATCTCTCACATGTTTGTCATGTCAAGTACATATGTGTCTCACATGTTTGTCATGTCAAGTACATATTTTACGGCAAGCATAGTCACCTTTAACGGAAAGCATGGGTTGTTGAAGACCTATTCTACCCCGGATCAACATGGGCCGCTTGGCTATCACACCAATATAGACATAAGCACAAGCATATGTCTGACATCATCTGTTGCCGAATAGGCTCCTACAACAGTGTTCTATGGCTCTATAACCCTTTGCTTCTCTTTTGTAGGCCCTCATAGCAACATCAACTGGTCTGAATCAGCAATTCTTTAATAACATCAGCAACCATGTCTTGAACCTTGTGGGAGACCTTCAGTTAGTGACAGAGATTGCTGGAATATTCAGCGGTGGCTTCAATGTTGATACTCTTCGGGACAATATTCCCAAGATCGACAGATTTCTCATGTCATCTGGCCCTGAGAGAATAGTGCAGAGGTATGTTGTGTTCCAAAGCATCAGTGTACAAAGTCATTCCATGAACCTAATATGGATACGGAACAATCTTCATGATCCTTTAACATTTAAGTCAATCTTAAGAAATATATGTCTAGCAGTGAAAGTTGTTTTCTAATCAGTCAGCCCAAGGGGAGCCCAATGATCCGAGGCACCCAAATTCATTGTACTGACATCTTTGGTGCCAGGATCCACTGTCAAAACCTTGATTTGCCCGGGTAGGTGGGTGGGTGAGTGGGTGGATTGGTTGGTGAGTGAGTGAGTGAGTGAGTGATATAATGGATGCTGCTTTTAGCATGATTTCTTTTGATTATGGAAATATATTTTGTCTCTTATACATATTTCACTCCATGTCTTCAGTCAAGTAGAGTAATGAAACATCTCTGCATGTGGTCATAATGTGCTATTGCTATCTGTCCAGTCTGACTAACATCTTGGAGGACATCCAGAAAGTCCTCCCTGCCAACAGTGAAGCCGACACCGTGCTGAAAGAAATTGGAATTTTCATCAGGGGATTAGCTGGGCTAGACATTGTGCAGTCATACTTCTTAGAGGCTTGTGAGTAACAGTCCTACAAAGGTTTAAACATCTTGATGATGTACATCTTCAGCTGGACTTCTCTGTTTAGATTAAATACTGTATTTGACGTAATAAGTGCCCTGGGGGCTCTCAAAATTAGAAATAGGGGGCTCTTATTAGAATATTATTTTGTCGAAAAAAACAGAGTTGAAAGATAAATTCCATGGTTTATGCTGACAGCCTGAAATGTTTATATACGAGAGATATATTTTTCCAGAATTTAATTGCCCATAATTAAGGTGGCATTTAAAACACGAGTGCGTATTATATGCGAATAAATAAGTATTGTGTACATTGATCAATCGGAAAAGGTGCTAATTGGTATTGTTCACGAGCCAATCTATTTGCAAATATCGCCGTGGGTGCTTATTAGAGCAGGGCGCTTATTACGTTGAATACGGTAATTGCTGTTTGATAAAATGCGTTGTTACCCACATAGTTGGGGACTGCAAGCTATGCACACACCTAAGGATATTTTAGCATGGCTAGAATACTAGTATATTAGCAGTGGAGGGTTGCAGTTTGTGACGAGTTTAACATACAAGTAGTATTTTTATATAACACAAAATGAGTTAGTTATAGTGTAAGTTAGTTTATGTGTCCCAGCTCTCCCTGCTTGTGGCATGACCTGTTGAGAACACTTTCCACTCTCTCCACAGGTATTGCTGACAAGTTTGTCAATGTCTTCACGTAAAAGAACTCTCATATTCCTTAAATTAATAGTTCAAAAAGTGCCAGTGGCTTCTTCTGGGCTCATCTCCTTTTCCTAACTTAGTGAATGACAACAGTATAATCCCTTCAAAGTACCGTATATCGCTGTGTATAAGGCGACCCCACGTATAAGACGACCCCCCTGTACACGCCTTAAAAATCAACCCAAAATCCTATACTCCGTGTATAAGGCGACCGGGAATGAAACACATCACAAGTCTGACTGATATAGAAGATTTAACGTGCGCTTTCCAACTGTAGCGTATTTCGCACACGGACATCACAAGTTAGTTAGTTAGTTAGTTAGTTACTTTGGAGATTTAACATGCGCTTTCCGACTGATGCGTATTTCGCACACATCACAAGTGCGCACACAAACCTTATATATGCAATTGTTTATCTTGCGTTGTTTTTTTTCTACAATGATAGGTCGCGTGTGTAACTCCAGCACACGTCGCCATTTCGTGTTGACACGGTACGACACCAAATTGGTGCCCGTAAAATAAAATTCATTTATGAAGTAATAACATATAAGAGACAATGGTGAGTAATTTAATCGCCAATTAACTATGTTGTAACTAACTAGGCTTATGTTTGCTTCACATTCAGCGTGTATATTCCACAATCACTTGTACACACCGTCTCCAACACTTGTTAATACAACTGTAAAAACAGCGGGAATTGATTTCAGCTTCACCGGTTATCACATGTTAGGTCACATGTGCAATATGCAAATGCTTACCGGTACTTCCGGCTCTCTGCTCACGGATGTTGATTGTTTTACCGTGTCAGGTGGTTTGACAATCTGCATCGAGGCGAGGGTCATTTCAACTTTATTTGCAGAAATTATTAAACTTTATTCAAGGAAAAGAGATACAAATCATGTTTATGTATGGAAATAGTTATTGGAACAGTTATTTAGGACGAAATGCGAAGTTTTTTTGTCAAATGCTGGGCTGGCTATCGGACGCCGGTTGACATCGCCATTGGAAAAAAATGTGAGATCTTTGACTCCGTGTATAAGACGACCCCCCTTCTTAGCCCCCCCATTTTAGGTACGAAAAACTCGCCTTATACACAGCGATATACGGTACAATTGGCATGTTTTAACATTATACCCAGATAGAAGAAAAAAAAGAATTTTGTGATAAAATTGAATTTTGCTGAAACCATGGAAATGTTTTGGTTTTTGTTTAATGTAATGCCACATGACAATTTCTATGAGATGCTGTAGTAGGACCTCCTTTAAATTTCAGTGACTGTTTCTGACTTTGTGAAGAGCCCTACTGCTGTGTACAACTACCTGATACAGATTGGCATGTCCCCCAGCAGTGCCAGGACTGTTCTGGAGGGAACATTTTCTATCAATGTGGTCAGTATAAAAATCACTTTTTTTTGTCAAACAGTGTCTTGAATAACAAGAAGCAAATACACTTATTTAATGGGCTACAGTCTTGTGGGGTAATCAGGTGTTTACTCAATGCAAGTTCTGTAAGAAATAAATCAGTGAGGTAAAATTTTATGTTTTCTTTGAGGCAAACTTGCACCCCTTAGCCATTTTTGATCCACTTATTGTAAGTTCACATCTCCAATTTTATGTTTAATGGTTTGACAGCATCATTACAATACTGCTGGGTTTCAACAAAGTGACAAATGTCTTTGTAGGTTTTTTTTCTTGCATTACGTTGTAAAAGTCCTGAAACACTTGAAGCAACAACCACATTAAACTCACATGCTGTGAAAACCCTGAAACACTTGAAGCAACAACCGCATTAAACTGATATGCTATGCTGTGAAAACCCTGAAACACTTGAAAGCAACAACCACATTAAACTGACATGCTGTGAAAACCCTGAAACACTTGAAGCAACAACCACATTAAACTGACATGCTGTGAAAACCCCAAAACACTTGAAGCAACACCAACATTAAATTGATATGCTTTGAGAATCCTGAAGCACTTGAAAGCAACAAACTGTTCGAAAGTAGCACTAAAAAAGGATCCTACAATGTTTATCCCTTTCCCCAGTCATCCCACGTTGCCATGTGATGACACACATGGTGTTATACCCTACTGACTCCTTTACCACAGCATTATAGTCTGTCTTCATTGGCCATATCCTGTTCTAGTTCCTCAACTCCTCATACATCCTGGATGCCAACATTCCCTGCACCGAAATGTTCAGCAGACTCCTCTCCCTCAACACCACCATGCTCAACATCAGACAGGTCACGGATGACCTGTGTCGTATCAATGAAACAGTTGCCTTGGAGATTGCCAACTTGCTCATCCCACAACTTACCTTAGGAGATCTCCTGCAAAGGGTGAGGTCATGTTCAGCAATTTCTGTAATCCTGCCTTTTTCATTTTTTATATTTGTTGTATATGTCTTGTGGTCAAAACAAGAAGGATATTGAACCAAGCATCTTAATTATGTGTGCAGACTTTATCAGATTCCACTGATTCCAATTTCAGTATGTCACTTTGTCTGGTGATGACATTTTCAAGTCTGCCAATATCACGTCAGAAGAAGCTTCTGATCTGGCCACCAAACTCAACAACGCCCAAAAGGACCTTGTGCATGCTGCCGAACTTCTGACCGGAAAGAGCAACACCATGAACTACAAGAGTAGCGAGATGTTGGGAGAACTCTTCAAGCTGCCTCAAGCACAGACTGGTAAGAATAACTATCAAAGTGGTCACAGGACAGATGATTGGTTAATGCTCCCCAAGCTTCAGATGAGTGAGAACTTCTGCCAACAAGGCTGTAGGTAGATGATTGGTTAATGCTCCCCAAGCAGCAGATGGGTCTGAACTTCTGCCAACAAGGCTGTAGGTAGATGATTGGTTAATGCTCCCCAAGCTTCAGATGAGTGAGAACTTCTGCCAACAAGGCTGTAGGTAGATGATTGGTTAATGCTCCCCAAGCAGCAGATGGGTCTGAACTTCTGCCAACAAGGCTGTAGGTAGATGATTGGTTAATGCTCACCAAACAGCAGATGGGTCTGAACTTCTGCCAACAAGGCTGTAGGTAGATGATTGGTTAATGCTCCCCAAGCTTCAGATGAGTGAGAACTTCTGCCAACAAGGCTGTAGGTAGATGATTGGTTAATGCTCCCCAAGCAGCAGATGGGTCTGAACTTCTGCCAACAAGGCTGTAGGTAGATGATTGGTTAATGCTCACCAAACAGCAGATGGGTCTGAACTTCTGCCAACAAGGCTGTAGGTAGATGATTGGTTAATGCTCCCCAAGCAGCAGATGGGTCTGAACTTCTGCCAACAAGGCTGTAGGTAGATGATTGGTTAATGCTCACCAAACAGCAGATGGGTCTGAACTTCTGCCAACAAGGCTGTAGGTAGATGATTGGTTTATGCTCACCAAGCAGCAGATGGGTCTGAACTTCTGCCAACAAGGCTGTAGGTAGATGATTGGTTTATGCTCACCAAACAGCAGATGGGTCTGAACTTCTGCCAACAAGGCTGTAGGTAGATGATTGGTTTATGCTCACCAAGCAGCAGATGGGTCTGAACTTCTGCCAACAAGGCTGTAGGTAGATGATTGGTTTATGCTCACCAAGCAGCAGATGGGTCTGAACTTCTGCCAACAAGGCTGTAGGTAGATGATTGGTTAATGCTCACCAAACAGCAGATGGGTATGAACATCTGCCAATGTGGTTGTTGGTTGATGATTGGTTAATGCTAACCAAAAGGAGATTGGTAATGACATTGGATTCCAAACAATTGTACAATGTTAAGAACTTAGTGTCGTCAATTAATATATCAGGTTAAAGGTCAGGTGATGTCAAAGGTCATCCAGTTCGCCAATAATTTCTATCTGCTTATGAGTTTTTATCATTCAAAATACTGAACTACATTCTTACTAGGACTATCACTACGTCAATAATCTTCAAATGCAGCAATGGACTACAATCTTTATATACAACAAGGAATCATTTTCATAGTGTCTTTATCCTCATCTCATGCAGGTGCTAAAACTATGGACTCCATCCAACCTCTGCTGTGTGGCAAGAAGCCGGGAGATCTTGCCGGGGATGATTTCAATGTGGCATCAGTGCTGGGGAGTGGCTCCAAGGCAACAGTCAGTGAACAGGAGCTCAGTGAATTGGCTGAGGCTGACAAGGACAATGGAGGTAGGATTGATTGACTTGAATTCTCAACCCTAGAGAGACCAAACATCTAGTTTGGGTCTAGCACAGTGCCCTGGATGGTGGCTGGAATATTTTCAATGTTTTTTGAGTCTCCTACTGGAAATTCCTATTAAATTGTAAACAAATGTAGTTAGGTCCGAGTTTCTCTGGATTAAATCCACTTTTGGTACAAATATTTTTATAGGATGTGAGATTTGATATCCATTCTTTGAGAGCATGATTTTGAACAAATGTATAATCTAGACTCGATATTAAATTGAATGGTGTTTTCCAAATTGAGAGCATAATTTTCAAGGACATGTATATGTTTTGTATTTGGCATGATTGGAATAATTGAGGTGTATGTCTGTTCTCAACTCAACCTGGCGAAATTCTCAACAGCTTTACAATATGGCATTATATGCATCTGTTCTAATATGTTATGTGTTTCTAACTTTTTCGGGGGCACGGGTAGCCCAGTGGTCTAGGGCGCTGTGATTCGCTGTACAGAGTTGCATCCCTTAGACACGCCAGAAACCTATGATTGTGGGACGAATCCCGGTTCGCCCTGATTATGTTTCTAGGTTTGTCAGCACCATACCCGTGCTTGTGGGTTTCACCGAAGTGGTAATCGTCTGAGACCTGCATCTCTGCAGGCTTTCCTCCCACATTAAGCTGACATGCCATGATATAACTGGAATAATGTTAAAAGCGGTGCTAAACCCAGCTCACTCACTCACTCTAATTTTTTCCATGTTAAAGTGATAAAGATATCTAAGTGTATGTTTTCTATTTGGCATTTGGGTAAAATATTATCATGGTTTTCTCACTTAACCAGGTGACTTCTGTCAACAACTGTACAATGACATCCAGTCTCAGAACCTGGGCTCCATCATCTGGGCGTACCTGAAACCCATCATGAGGGGCAAGATCTTGTACACCCCCGACACCCCGCTCACCAGGCAGATCATCAGCAAGGTGGGTGAACACTGGAAGCCTTGCTTGAGGGTTCAGGGTTAGAATGTGCTGGTTGTAGAGGTGACTTGGCTGTTCAGGCTCAGATTTTACTGTTAAAGATGCTGCCTGATCCTGATGATGTTTGTTTTTAAAATTTAGCTGCTCCCAAACTGTCCGAAGAACAATAGAAACACCACCTTTTCCCATTGAACATACTTATCTGAAAGATAAACACACATAGGTTTAGTGCTCTGTCCTTAAATGACTGTGAAGACTAAAATATGTTGTTAAAGGTGTCAGTATCAGATTCACTCTGATTATGATCCTTGGTCTCTCAGTGTTGATCTAAACTCACTCATTCCAGGCCAACAACGTATTTGACGTCCTTAAGGATGTCCAGAGAGTGGCAAAGGCGTGGTCAGTGGGGACTCCCAATCTGATGGCAATGACAGACAAAGCCAAACAAATGGGTGCAGTCAAGGTAAGATAAAAGGCTTAATATGTTATGATATGTTTTCACATAATAATATATAATGATAGGCTATTTATATTGCGCATATTTCCACACCACTCAGGGGCATGCTCAAAGTTCTATTATTATCCCAGCCACTAGATCAGTGTGCACTCAAGAATCATTCTCAGCTCCCATGGGAGTATACAACCCAAGCTGCCTGTTAGATGCTAAAAGGTTAACTTCCCATCCTACCAGGTACCCACTCACTGCTGGGTGGGTATAGAGGCACATTTCGAACAAAGTCACTTACCCAAGGAGATATTACATGTGCTACGGTGTGGGGCAGGATTGAAGCCCTGGAAACTCTCAGGAGCCAAGCTGCCAAAACGCTGTCGCCCATCCAAGGACTCTCCACGACCGACATTGCTTAACTTCACATGATTTGTGACCTGTGACCTGTGCACAGGTCCATGTGTCACCACATCTGATATGCAAATATGCAAGGGTTTCTCTAATCATGCTAATACAATTAAGGATAATTTTTAATCAAATTAAATTCATATATGGATCAAGTTCCCTTTATTCAATGTTATCATTTTATCATTTGTAAAATTGTGTTTTTCTGTAAATTATTTGGGAAATTTATCATTCTTATTTTGCAGGATATTTTAAAGAATGACTTCATTACATCTCTACTGAAACAGACCTCTGGTCTTGATGCCAAACAACTTCTGACAGGTATTGAAGCCCTTGACTCTGGCAACTTCAACTCCAGCAGTATGAAGGGCATGAAGGTCGCTGCTGACCTCCTCGTCAACTACACCTCCTGTATGGAACTTGAACGCTTTGTCGCTGCAGAATCGGAAGAAGAAATGGAAAAAATGGCATTCCGCCTCTCAGACACGAATAACTTCTTGGCAGGTGGGGAGATGTTACAAACAATAAAGAATTTGTTATCCTTAAAAAGTTTCTTCATGTTCTTCCAACTGTTAAATGTCCATCAAAGACGTAATCTGGTGTACAGCTTTATAAAGAATGTTTTTGTGTGTAAATTTATAATAACTGATTTGATGAGTTTATCTTGTTGAATGTTACCTTGAAAATAGTATAATACCTGAAAATGGATACCAGTCCTCTTCAGAAGAATAATATATTCAGGATTTGCTATAATTTTGTATGACGTGTTACTTGGCACAGCCAAGTAGTCTTTGGCACAAGTTGTATACTTACCAGTAGGACATCCTTACCCTTTTTGTGAACTCCTGGTGTCAATGATTTTCAGTGGTCCATTCATATAATTTTCACAACTATTTTGCCCTTTACGCCAAATGGAATCTGTTTCGGTGAACATTCTAAACTGGTTATTCTCTTGCATTGACAATTTATATTTAAGATGTATACAAATATTTGGGAAAGTGTATATTTCTTTAAATATATGTTGACTTTCATTTCTTGCTTTTATCAACAACAGACCTTTGATTATTAATGTTTTCTCCTGGCAAAGATGATCACTACATAATGAAAAAGAATGATTTAAGTTACACATCCATGAATAGGCCTTAACTAGACACATGTTGGTTGTTGCAGGCGTTGTGTTCACCAATCTCCCATCTGGTGGTGGGCGCCGCAGGAAGAGAGACACTGGAGGCGATAAGCTACCTGACCATGTCGAGTATAAGATCCGTATGGAGTCAGAAAATGTCAGAATTACGAACCGATTGAAACCCAGGTATGTCATGCATGGAAAATATTAATAAAATCATATAATTATATATTTCTATAATTTGTGTTTCTACCTTCTACAGGATGAGGACTTATTTGTTGTTAATTAAAACAGTAAGGAAACCTGGTGTGTTATGTAGTTACCAAAAGGTAAAATGCAAGTAGATATCTTTCATATGGTAGCCTACACTGGCAAAATGCACACTGAAATTGGCAGTCGGTGTTTCCAAAAATAATTTGTACAAATGTGAGTTATGCTTCTTTGCAATATCAAACTATATCATAACTTACAACAATTGCTATTTTATGTTTTCTCACTTTAGAAATATTCTTTTACTAGTAAAATACAAATTGTCGACACATAAAAATCTGAAACTGTAGATTTTTATCTCACTGTCATACTAGTGAATGTCTTCAGAATAATACAGTTTCGGATTAATGAATAATGGGAAGGACTAATGTGGTTTGGATATATGTAGACTTTGCCTTCAGTAGATATTGCCTACGGTAATTGTTTGAGATGTTGCCAGACTATTACGATCACTGGATCAGCATGGAATATGTGTACATTGATCACTTATGTTGTATGCTAGGTTCTGGGAGCCGGATTCCTATGACCGCTTTGCATCCCACCTCCAGTATCTGCGCGGCTTCATGCAACTCCAGGACATGGTAGAGCGAGCCATCATTGCCGTACAGACCGGGGAAAATGCCACACTGCCAGGCGTCTACCTCAAACAGTTCCCCTTCCCATGCATTTCGGATGACTCGTGAGTGCTTTTTTTACTCTTGGTATCACAGCACAGGTTCTTCAACATGAGTCTTGGTATGAAAACTAAGGATTTAAAGGACACAGTAGGGTCCATGTGATGGTACTCTTGTTGTCTGGCCTGGATTAATGAACGACTGGTTTGTCAGTTCTTGTTTTCATTAGGCGGCACAGGTGGCCCTGTTGTCTGTGGTTGCATTCCTTTGGTGAGCCAGAAACCTTAGGATGAGTTTGAATTCCGAATTCACCTTGTTTATGATGTTAGTTTATCAGCCCCATACCAGTGCTCGTGTGTCTCACCAAGGTGGTTAAATCTAAGACTGCATCACTTTCTGCTTTCCCACCAAGTCAAGCTGACACACACCATGATATAACTGAAATACTGCTCAAAGCAGAATTAAACCCAACTCACTCACTCACTCATTCCATTCTATTATCTACCTCACTAAAAATAGCAACATCCCCTACCATGTATCACCTTCAAGCTGTGATTTCTCTCCAGCCCACTGTGCCTTTTTGTGTTAGACACCGTGCAACCCTTGATGGGTGCCTATAACATACGTCTACATATATGACTTGATTTGAAACTGAATTGATGACCTGTAAAGCAGTATTCCCAAATCTCATATGGAACTTCATGGCGCTACACCATTATTACCCCGGTCAATGGATCAGTGAGCACTCGATTTTCCTTCTTAGCTCCCTGGGGAGTATACAACCCAAGCTGCCCGTAAGGCGCTAGAAGGTTCACAGCCACATTATCATCTCATCCTACCGGGTACCCACTCACTGCTGGGTGAACAGAGGCACATTTCGAACAAAGTCATGTATTTTTAATGATGCACAGACTACTTGAAACATAAATATTTTAGTTTGGAAATTAATTGTTTAGTTCTATTTCAGATACATTGGTGTGCTTGGATCTTACTTGCTGCCAGTTGTGATGACCTTTGCATGGCTGGCTGCTCTGGCCATTGCCACCCGCAACCTCGTCATTGACAGAGAGGAGGGTCTAGAAGATGTAAGTAGCATAATTCTGTTTTTGTTACACATGTCACTTCTCCATAATTGGCATCAAACCTTTATAGGACATTGCTCATTATGTTAACCACTGGTTTAGAGGGTCCAGTCTTGATTGTTTACATGCCACCATGATGTACCTGGAATATTGCTGACTGCTGCATAAAACAACAAACAAACTAACAAACAAGCAAACATTAGTCATGGATTATTTAGGTCATTTCTAGATCTAGTGAAACCTTGAATGGCTTCCCATGGTGGCATGTGGTCCTGTACAGCACACAGTCAGGTCACAAATCAGGTGAAGTTAAGGCACATTGGCCATGGAAAATGTATGATTGGTGACCATTTTTGTAATGCTTAACTGCTGAGTTTCTAGGCTTCACCCAGAAGTAGGATGAGATTGTAATATGACTGTTAACCTTCTATCGTTTCAAAAGGCAGCTTTGGGTTGGATGCTGCCTCAAGTTATTGCTGTTATTTTTAATTCTCAAAGCAATTGCAAAGCGCCATGATGATTGATTTCTCTGTAGGCTCTAAGAATCATGGGAATGAAACCCATCCTGAACTGGTTTGCCTGGTTGGTGTCAACACTGATACTGATGGTGGTTGTCAGCGGCATTCTCACCATAATCCTCAAATTCAGCCATCTTTTCCGAATGTCCGACCCATCGATCGTCTTCCTGTATCTCATCTGCTTCTGTTTCTCGTCAACCATGTTGGTGTAAGTATAAATGTATCATCTTCTTCTTTTACGTATTCTTTGTCTTCTTATTTGTCTTTATCAATTTTTTCCATGTCCTCATCTTCTTCACCTTCTTTGTCTTTGTCTTCTTCATTTCCTTTGTCTTTATCTTCTACTCCTTTGTCTTTATCTTCTACTCCTTTGTCTTTACCTTATTCATTTACTTTGCCCTTATCGTCTTCACCTTCTTTATCTTTATCGTCTTCACCTTCTTTGACTTTAACTTCTTCATCTTCTTTTTTTTGTCTTTATATTTCTCATTTTCTTTGCCTTTATCGTGTTCATCTTCTTTGTCTTTATCGTCTTCACCCCCTTTGCCTTAATCATCTTAACCTTCTTTGCCTTTATCATCTTCACCTTCTTTGCCTTTATCATCTTCACCTTCTTTGTCTTTATCATCTTCATCTTCTTTGTCTTTATCATCTTCACCTTCTTTGCCTTTATCATCTTCACCTTCTTTGTCTTTATCATCTTCATCTTCTTTGCCTTTATCATCTTCACCTTCTTTGTCTTTATCATCTTCACCTTCTTTGCCTTTATCATCTTCACCTTCTTTGTCTTTATCATCTTCATCTTCTTTGTCTTTATCATCTTCACCCCTTTGTCTTTATCGCCTTCACCTTCTTTGCCTTTATCATCTTCACCTTCTTTGCCTTTATCATCTTCACCTTCATTACCTTTATCGTCTTCATCTTCTTTGTCTTTATCATCTTCATCTTCTTTGCCTTTATCGTCTTCACCCCTTTGTCTTTATCGCCTTCACCTTCTTTGCCTTTATCATCTTCACCTTCTTTGCCTTTATCATCTTCACCTTCTTTGTCTTTATCATCTTCATCTTCTTTGCCTTTATCATCTTCACCTTCTTTGTCTTTATCATCTTCACCTTCTTTGCCTTTATCATCTTCACCTTCTTTGCCTTATCATCTTCACCTTCTTTGTCTTTATCATCTTCACCTTCTTTGCCTTTATCATCTTCACCTTCTTTGTCTTTATCGTCTTCACCTTGATGACCTTTATCATCTTCACCTTCTTTGTCTTTATCGTCTTCACCTTGATTACCTTTATCGTCTTCATCTTCTTTGCCTTTATCATCTTCATCTTCTTTGCCTTTATCGTCTTCATCTTCTTTGTCTTTACCTTCTTCATTGTCTTTATCTTCTCAATCCTCAGTGTATTTTATACATTTCTTGTGATTTCAGCTACTTTGTGAGTTCATTCTTCACCCGTGTGACCTTGGCCATCCTGATGGTGCTCATCGTCTACTTCCTGTCCTACCTGCCATACATTGTCCTTGTCTCCATGGAGGTGTCCATGGTCTTCTGGCAGAAAACTATAGCGGTAGGCACATATTGGTAACCTCTATGTGTTATGTACCATTAGTTAACAATAATTGTGGATTACTGAATGCATTAGGCAACAAAGACAGAGCTAACAGGATTTCAAGTTCTTTGTCCTTTCAATGCATACTGTTATCAAGCAAGTACCAGCACTGTACGTAACAATAAGGAGCTTCTAGTCTTCTTCCATATTATAGCTTCTAACAGCCACTTAACAATATCATTAGGAAATTGCTTGAAATGATCTGCACCATACTGTGTGTAGAGTGGGTTGTTTTCCATAAAATTGCCCCTAAAAACAAACAATTTAACAGATGCAAATTCTTTTTTAATGCTCTAATCATCTAAGGCCCACTAAAACATGTGTGTACCGCACTATGCTGATTATTTAAAATTAATTGCAACAACAAAAAGGAAAGACTACTTTTAGATAAAAACTATGGTGCATATAGTTTTTTTTTCTCCTGAGATGATATATGTCTTTGTCTTAACAATTTATCACTTGATTTTTGTCTTCCAGTGTCTACTATCTACCAGTGCATTTGGGTTTGCTGCTCAATATTTGTCTCGTCTGGAGATGCAGAATATTGGTCTGCAGTGGGACAACATCGCATCCAGTCCAGTAGCTGAGGATCCTATGACCTTCTCCTGGGCGTGCTACATGATGTTGATTGACAGCGCCATCTATCTTTTCCTTGGCTGGTATGTCAGGACTATAATGCCAGGTGAGATGCTTCCTTGTCCTGTCAAGTCTTGTTAATCCGACACTCGTTAACCCGACAATCGCCTTTATCTGACAGTAATGATGGGAATCGATTAATTCAGTGCTATTTAGACCCGTTAATCCGACAGTCTCACACTCCGACTCTGACACCTAATTTCCAACGAATTACCGAAATCACTCATTAATCAGTCTCGTTAATCCAACACAGTCATCTGCCCGTGAGTACACAGCCCGTGTTTTGATGCGAGACAAGTCGGCTGGTAGCTGCATATTACAAAGTCTGCAGAGATAAACTTGCTTAACAATAAACAATTAATGAACAAATAGTGTTTGAATCGTTATCTATCGTAAAGTTGTCCGATTTTCGATACTACTTAATTTCGTTTTTCCAACATACTCGTTAATCACACATAATCATATGCAACCAACCATGTCGGATTAACTGGACTTGACTGTACAATCTTCTAAGATGCCCTGATTTTTCTCCTCATGTATACATGATTCTGATTGTCTTCATGCATGGTAATCTAATGTTCATGATAAGTTGTTTAAACTTAAAAATAAAATATACAATTTTTGAGTAATATTATTAAATGGTGGTTCTATTAGGTAAATTTGGCACCTCCGAGCCATGGTATTTCCCGGTGTCCCCCTCCTACTGGTGTGGCAGGAAGAACAAGGGAAACAGTGCCCTTTCCTCCAGGACAGGATCTCAGAACGGTAAGTGATGTGCAGGATAAGGGAGAGAACTCTAGATTGCATACTTTTTCAACCATGCTTTAGGGGTATGTTTTTGAACAAGAGAAATCTGTTGAAATTTTGTTTTGTCATGATAATGTAATTAGTTATGTATTGTATAATATTGTATAGTGATTTAACTAGTTTACTGTGATCAGTTCAAACAGTAAATGTATAACTGTATTACTGACAGCTGCAGAAAACAACATTCAAACAAACAAGGAAACTTATTTGAATAAGCCTGCATGATTGGTTGTATAACCATTTACTGCCGCTGTGGTCTTAGCACCACTGTTCATTGCAGAGTTAGGTCATGGGATTGGCAGGTCTACTTGTCAAGGGTTCAAAGCCCAGATTTAAACATTAAAGATTAAAGTGTCCATGGATTTATCTGGACCTGCCCGGAGGCAGATATTTGGTCTCAAGTCAGCAACAGTTTTCAGTACAAATTCCTGCATTAGAATTAAAACATATATACATATAAACATATAAATACCTACGAATTTAAGCAAATAAGAACTTTAAAATAAAGCCCATTATTGAACAAAATAATGATTTTTTTCTCATTTTGCTTGAGAAGGGCACTTAGTTTGTAATGCTAGATAAATACCTGGTGCTACAATTCTTTGTGGAGAGTTGTGTCCTTTAGGCATGCCAGAAACCTATGATCTTGGGCAGGTAGTGATATGACTGAAGTTTTGATCAAGGTATTTGTAGACAAAACTCACCCACTCTTCTCACTCTCAGTCACGCTGTTCGAGTCGAGTGGAGGTGGTTCAGGAATACCTGGTATGGCGGTGCGGAATCTCACCAAGAAGTATGGGAAGAAAGTGACTGTTGACAACATCAGTGCCGATTTCTATGAAGGACAAGTTACTGCCCTACTTGGACACAACGGTGCCGCCAAGACAACAACAATGTAGGCTTACCGTCAGATTTTCAAAATTATTTTCAAGTTACACCTTGGTTCAATACCCCAGATTTTATTACTGCCTCCACATGACCTGTGAATATCTGGGAGTAGAATAGGTTTCAGCAACCCATGCTTGCCGCAAAAGGTGCCTATGCTTGAGAGGCGACTAACAGGATTGGGTGGTCAGGCTCACTGACTTGGTTGATGCATGTCATCGATCCCAATCGTGAGGATTGATGCTCATGTTGTCATTCACTGGATTGTCTGGTCCAGACTCAATTATTTACAAACCGCCGTCCTATAGCTGGAACATTGCTGAGTGCGGCTTTAAACAACAAACCAACCAATTACCGCCTCCATGATTTAGTTGTTTGAGCATCTACCTGGAGAGCAGAAGGTCAGTGGTTTGATACCTGGTCATGTCATACCAACACATGTTAAAAGATGGTACTTGCTGTTGTACACTGACTAGTGTTTGGCATTTAAGCTTTAAAAGAAGGACAGGTCTGCTTGGATTCAGTATACTGTGTCTGTGTGTGATATACATGTAAAGCCTTCAGCATGGCATCTCAGTGGGTTTACATTATAAAACTGGCATTAGTTCTGACCAGTACAAAGCAGCCACACTCTCACATGTGCATGCAACATTGATATATAAGACACTGCAGGTTTCAAACTTACTACCCGTGTGGGGCTTCCGGATTAGAATAGGTCCCCAGCAACCTATACTGTTGTAAGAGGCAACAAAACGAATGGATGGTCTGATTCATTGACCTGGCTGATTGTGTGTCATTGTACACTGATGGCTTGGATTGCTGTGCACAGTCTCAATCTCTGAATTGTCTGGTCCAGCCATGAAATTTGCAGGCCGCTGTCATATAGCCGGAATATTGCTGAGTTTAGCCTAAAGCAAAAAACAAGTACAAACTTACATATGTGTTTTGCCAAATTATACTTATTACTAAATACTAAATATAATACCAATGTTCTTCCCCAGGAAAATGTTGATTGGGATCTTGGAGCCCACGTCTGGAGAAGTGTTCATCAACCAGAAGGGGTCTGCTGGAGCCATCGGCTTCTGCCCTCAACACAACACACTTCTAGACTAGTAAGTATCTGTACCTGCCATTCCATTCTAAGAGATTGACTTCAGCAGGGGATTCTGAACAGATCACTAGTTCCCCATACTTGCTAACCCAAATGAGGATTGATTGGCTGCTATTTATGACCTAACTGGACATTTCATTGTACCCCAACTGTATTGTTTGCTGACCAATCTATCATTCAATCATTCACTGTTTTGCCTGGTCCAAAAATGTACTCTGGGTGCATTTGTATGGTTTAATATGACATCCAAACAGAGCCCACCATATACAATTAGACATCGACGTGAAGAAAGTATTAAAAATAGAAACTTCATGTTTAGAGGTGCTGCATCCTCATCAGAAAATCAAGCCCCCATTATCATCAGCCCCTTTCAAACAAGCATGTAGAATTTCCAAGCCCCCCAAACACCCAGTTATTTTAGTGAATTAGTTTAAACTTTAGAAAAAATTAAAAAGGAAGAAGCTTGTGCACATCCCTTTAAAAAATGGAGTGATGCCCAGGATTCTCATGAAACATTGGAGTACCATGTAAGAGCTGAGGTGTCGGAAAGTGGACGTTTTGGATTTAAATCTTTTCAACTATGTGTGTGGTGCATAACATATAATATTAATGAATAATAGCTTTAATCTAACTGGTTCCTACTTGTTTATGTATAACACTCATGTACCTATCCTGCAGCATGACCGTCCTGGAGCACATGGAGCTGTATTCTGGCATCAAGTGTGACTGGTCGTCCAGTGACCGAGCCAGTGAAATCAAGAGGTATGCTAAGTTACTGCTTTATTCACAACACCAGAATAGATGAATGAAACTATCTATTTATGCACATATAGAAAAGCTCAAATTAACACCTGAATTGGCTAGAGTTTCAGACATTTGATTATTTTTGTTCTGATTTCTCTCTTGATTTGTCTTCCAGCCTCCTGTCTGATGTGGACCTGTATCATGTGCGTTATGTCCGAGTCAGTCAGCTGTCTGGGGGTATGAAGCGTAGATTGTGTGTGGCCCTGGCGTTTGTTGGAGGGTCGACGGCAGTCGTGTTGGATGAACCCACCAGTGGAGTAGACCCACACGCAAGGAAACACATTTGGAACCTGATCACGAAACAGAGACTTGGTGAGAACATAGTGTATAGTAGTAATACTGATAGTGGTAATTGGAATATTAGGAAAAGATAGACATTTGTATTGTTTACTCTTTTGAAAAATGTGAATACCTCTGAGATTTTTGTTGATTTCTGTTCAATATTTACTCCCCATAAATGAATTTTTTACATTACTTTCATATATATGAAGGCAAACAATAGCTTCAAAATTGTTATGATATAATATTAAATAATGCTTTCCCATCAACTTAATCATATATATGGATAGCCCAATCATCTAAGGAGCCGGAACTCAAAGTGCAGAGTTCTATAACAGAAAATATGATCGCCCTGATATGTTTCTAAGTTTGTCAGCACCATACCCGTGCTTGTTGGTTTCACCGAAGTTGTAAATATCTGTAAGACCTGCATCTCAGGGTTTCTCCACACATCAAGCTGAGTCCATGATGTAACTGAAATACTGAGAGTAGTTCACTAACCTCACTCAATCAATAGGCCAGTCAACAATCAGGAACACCTTTACATACAATTATATTTGTTTTCCTATCCCAGAGCGGACCATCCTGCTGTCCACGCATCACCTGGATGAGGCCGATACCGTCGGAGACACCATCGCCATCATGCACGAGGGTCACATTCTGTGTTGTGGGTCCCCCATGTTCCTGAAGGGGAAGCTGGGTGGAGGGTACCATCTCACTGTGGAGAAGGCCACCAAGATGGAGGTTGGACATGTTTCATTTCTTTTTGAGAGAGAAGCTTCACTCTAAGTGAGATCTTTTACTCCAATACAGTGTCTCTCTGCATTAAAATCAGATCTTTTACTCACATACGATATAATACCTCTCTGCATTAGAATCAGATCTTTTACTCACATACGATATGATACCTCTCTGCATTAAAATCAGATCTTTTACTCACATACGATATGATACCTCTCTGCATTAAAATCAGATCTTTTACTCACATACGATATGATACCTCTCTGCATTAAAATCAGATCTTTTACTCCTATACAATATGATACCTCTCTGCATTAAAATCAGATCTTTTACTCCAATACAGTGTCTCTCTGCATTAAAATCAGATCTTTTACTCCTATACGATATGATACCTCTCTGCATTAAAATCAGATCTTTTCCTCTGATATGATACTTCCCGGGGCAAGGGTGTCAACTGACTACAAAAGTGCAGTTTTCACCCTTGCCAAACTACATTGGAATTTACACCTCTCATATCACTTGCATTTGCTTCAAACAAAATGGCAGTGCCCAGTCAAATGATCTGATCGATACTCAAGCATCTATTGTGTAATAAAAGGGGTCTTACTTCGCGAAGTGCATCAAATCGTTTGAGTACCTTGATTAGAAATATGCAAAGGTTTGCAAAATATCTGACATGGCCCAAATCCTGCAGTCGACCGAAATCAGCACATTGGAATCCATGTTGTTTATGAACCGGATATCTAGTTCATTGCACGATTTTGATAGAGCTTTGCATAAACTTGTGAGTCCGGCCAAAATATAACTCTGAAATTCCAGCCTAGTTCAGCAAGGGTGGAAACAGGACTTTTACTGTCAGTTAACTCCCTTGCCTCCCTCCGGAAGATGCCATAATCTCTGCAGACCCGTGTCATATCGGAGTAAATGATCCGATTTGAGTGAGATTGCACAGCAGCAATTTATGAAGTGGTGCTCAGAGGCAACCATGATGGCTGCAGCTATTGTGTCGCTGTAATATTACTATGACGTTAGACTAAATTCTTTCCAACACTGTAAGCTGAATTAAGGGTTTAAACACTCTTATTACAATCAGATTTGTCACTCCTATACACTACCTCTCTGTGAAGATCTGAAGACCGTATCATACGAAGTCACATGAGCCAATCAGTGTTCTCAGGCTTCTAACTTTGTTGTACCAGCAGATCTTTTTTCTGTATCTCGAAAATGAATATTATCAATGATATCCAAATGCTAAAACATAGAGCCATGCTATTGTTTTGTTGTTGATATACAATACATATTTTAAGAAGATTAGGTTATAAGGTACATGATGTATTAATCTTAGAATTTTAACTGAAAACCATTATATTTTTTAGGCCTCCGGAACATTCAATGGAAACCAAAGTGAGTACAAATAAATACAACCAATAATGATGTACCCCGGGGCTGTAATTATTCAAAAACATTCATAGAATTATCAAAGAAATGCTCAGCATAATTAGGATGTCATTGGGAATTATTAGAGATTCTTGTCATTGAGCTGTCAATGTGTCATAGAGGTGGGCCTGTTTGACAAAACAACAAAATGGGGATTATGTGGACACAATGTCTGTATGGATAGTACTTAGATGAGTGGACACCAGAAACAACAACACACATCGTTTCATCCTAAACAGATGCATCTCACGAACATCACCAATATAACCGCTGGTGGATGTTATATGGCTGTATTATGTCTGACTAAAATTGCTTTTCACTCATGACCTCCCTCCGATACAGGTGACTGCACTAGCACTCAAGTCCTGGCCTTCATGAAGACAATGTTGCCGAAAGCCCAGCTTGTGGAGGAATTTGGGACTGAGATGACCTTCAACCTGCCACGAGAGGACAGTGTCCACACACCGTTTGACGTATTCTTCAGACGCCTCGACGAACACTGTAATCACCTGTGTATAAGCAGCTACGGCGTCTCTGATACTACCCTTGAAGATGTAAGATGAACAAATGTAGATTAAACTCGATAATGTGTTTTCCGAAATGCAAAAACAATTTGGATATAATTCTCATTGTGTTTAAAACACATTCAGACCTCGCTGACTCACACTACATAGTACATCAAAACTTGATTATTTTTTATAAATTACTTGTGAAATTAAACCACACTATTAACTCCCAGCAGAATCAGTAACAGCACTATGGTCTCGCATTTCCACTCCATTCTTCTGATAAGGATATATCCATATTTTTTTATGGTCATGAGATCTGAGGTATTGAAGTTTCCCTCGCTCACTAACATCAGATTTGAATATATCATTTAATGCTCACATTAAAAATCAAAATGGATTTTGATGAATGAGAAAGAACTCATTCCAATGAAAAGGTTTCCTGTGAAGAGCTAGATTACATTTTTGATTTTTTTTTTTACAATTTACCAAGATGGGATGATGTAATGTTTTGTGAAATCTTTTAGAACCTGATTTCTAATCACTTCTGAAACACCAGATGATGATCTCAGTTTGCAACATATAATTGACCCCATAATCAAAAGGGAGGATCAGCTTTTGTGATGCTTATCTTACCATTCCAGGTGTTCCTGAAAGTGACAGCTCTGGCAGATGACAATGTTGTCCTCAATGAAGAAGTCCTGGAGAAAGAGCGCCTCAAACCATTACGTACTCGCACTACCACCGAGACTGCAAGCGATACAACATCGGAGACGAGCAGTCAAGGTAACAACACTTAATTCAGTCATAGTTTGGGTAACAACACATAATACAGTCTTGGTACGGCAAAGTAACAATATTTAATATCAGCTTAGTCAAGTTAACAATAATTCATTCAGTATTAGTCTTCTTCACAAAAAAATATCCTATATCCTAACAATATATTCAGTCTTGGTCATGGAAACATACTTTATGAGCTTTTGTTATGGTAACAATGCCTTATTGGTCGTGGAATCCATTTTCAATTATCTGTAGTATATTTATGTAAACTATTTTGCAAAGGCAAAAACAAATTTGAAGTGTATGTGTTCAGTGAACTCTTGTGAAAACCATTTCCCCAGAGACGACAGTGAACATGCTGGACACCGGTCAGTTGAGATACTCCGGTTTGTCCCTGAAGCTGCAGCAGATGTCAGCGTTGTTGATGAAACGTTTCCACCACTACCGCCGTGACTGGCGCATGTACCTCTCCATCGTGCTTTTGCCGTTCCTGCTATTTTTGGCATCAATGGGCTTTGCCAGGATCCGCCCAGAGATGGAGTCCATGCCTAGCTTGCTCCTCACACCCGACATGTATGGCCCTGACAACTACATGTTCTTCAAGTATGTACACTGACCGTCATTTCTTTCAAATCCATTTGTTATTGTGTATGTAGTTCTTATCCAGTTTGATTGTCCATATCGGTATAAACCTCTAGGCTTATTTGTCATCTTCACACAACAATGCAATGTACTGAGAGCAGCAAATTTCACCTCACTCCTATAATGGGAATCAAAGTTATATGTCATGTTTACACATTAAACCATTTTTCTTATACCTTTGGTACCCGTGAAGGTCCAGGTTAGAATAGGTCTTCAGCAGCTCATGCTTGCCGTAAAAGACGACTAATGGGATTGGGTGGTCAGGCTCGCTGACTTGATGCATGTCATCATATCCCAATTGTGTAGATCAATGCTCATGATGTCAATCTTTGGAATTTCTGGTCCAGACTCAATTATTTACAGACTGCTGTCATACAGCTGGAATATTGTTGAGTCCGGCGTTAAACAAAAAACAAACAAATCTTATAGCTTTGGCACAAATCAATGACAACACAGATACATTTCAATAGACCCATCTCAAGACATTATTCAACTTCAGTTATCTTGTATTTCCTAATTTATAATCTGATGTGTTACTGGTAAAGGTTTGTTTCACAATATAGGGCTTGCTTACATATACATTGTCTTTTTCCAGGGATATGAGCTATGAATCACTAAGTGACAGAATCGCAGAAACATTGACCCAGAAGCCTGGCGTTGGCACTGTTTGTTTAGATGGATTTGATTCTGGGTAAGAACCTGCCTGAAGTTTTACTTTTATGCAAGTTTTTTGTCATAGCATGGTGTCCATCAGCCATTCATCATGTTTGTTTTTTCCTCTTTCATTCTTAAAATTGGCTCTGAAATTGCGGAATTTCATGTTTGTGTGTATGATCCCATAAATAAATTTAAATTCGGAAATTCTGTAATTTTCTATTCATTTTATAACCATAGTGTGTGAGTGAGTGAGTGAGTATGGTTTTATGTCGCTTTTAGCATATTCCAGCAATATCGTGGCGGGGAACACCAGAAATGGGCTTCACACATTGCGTCTATGTGGGGAATAATGCGTGATGAGCAAATGCTTTATCCACTAGACTACCCCATCCCTAACGATCGTCTTAGCACAATGGCTTTCATGGGCCTGTGTTGAGGTATGGGACTTATGATCGTCTTAGCACTATGGCTGTCGTGGGCCTATGTTAACGTATGGGACTTATGATCATCTTAGCACTATGGCTGTCGTGGGCCTATGTTAACGTATGGGACTTATGATCGTCTTAGCACTATGGCTTTCGTGGGCCTATGTTAACGTATGGGACTTATGATCGTCTAAGCACTATGCCTGTCGTGGGCCTATGTTAACGTATTGGACTTATGACCCTCTTAGCACTATGGCTTTCGTGGGCCTATGTTAACGTATGGGACTTACGATCGTCTAAGCACTATGCCTGTCATGGGCCTATGTTAACGTATTGGACTTATGACCCTCTTAGCAGTATGGCTGTCGTAGGTCTATGTTAACATATGGGACTTATGATTGTCTTAGCACAATGGCTGTCGTAGGTTTATGTTAAAGTATTGGACTTATGATCATCTTAGCACAATGGCAGTCGTGGGCCTATGTTGACGTATGGGACTTATGATTGTCTTAGCACAATGGCTGTCGTAGGTCTATGTTAAAGTATGGGACTTATGATCGTCTTAGCACAATGGCTGTTGTAGGTCTATGTTAAAGTATGGGACTCATGATCATCATAAGATTGCTTTGTGGAACAAGGTTCTGAGTGTTACAAAGTAAAAACATCATTTTCAGTTTACCAATCACATGTGACTGGACGAATAGAAGCTTCACCTCACGTGTCCCCCAGACAAACAACGATGGATGTAAGTGTGAGAATTTCAAGCAGCAGTGTGCCCCAGGCTCAGTCCCCATTCCTCGACACATCCAAACCCCGACCGGCAACTACCTGCAAGACCTGCTTGGCGAAGACATCTCACAGTATCTTCTACACAGTTTTGATGACTTCCTAGAGAAAAGGTAAAATAAATCCAATTCAATTGTATTCTTGAAAGATGAACATTAGCAAAAAAAACAACATTGATATGAGAAATATGTTTTTATGTATTTCTTGTGATTTGGGGCAGACAATTGTTGATTTTATTTTTCATGGATGAGCCAGCCTGATGTAACATAAAAACAATTATTTAACATTTTTGTTACATATCAGAACCAACATCAGAAACCCATGCTTGTAAGAGCCAGCTAAAACTAGGGATTCGGGTCAGGCTCTGTATTTTGGCTGGCTGTATGTCATTGTACCTTGATGGTATGGATCATTGTACCTTGATGGTGTGGATTATTGTACCTTGATGGTATGGATCATTGTACCTTGATGGTGTGGATCATTGTACCTTGATGGTGTGGATCATTGTACCTTGATGGTATGGATTATTGTACCTTGATGGTGCGGATCATTGTACCTTGATGGTGTGGATTATTGTACCTTGATGGTATGGATTATTGTACCTTGATGGTGTGGATCATTGTACCTTGATGGTGTAGATCATTGTACCTTGATGGTGTAGATCATTGTACCTTGATGGTATGGATCATTGTTCCTTGATGGTGTGGATCATTGTACCTTGATGGTGTGGATCATTGTACCTTGATGGTGTGGATCATTGTACCTTGATGGTGTGGATCATTGTACCTTGATGGTGTAGATCATTGTACCTTGATGGTGTGGATTATTGTACCTTGATGGTGTGGATTATTGTATCTTGATAGTGTGGATCATTGCTGAAGCTTCATTGGCTGGTTTATCTGGTCCGCTGCCACTGTTATATAGCATTCACTCACTGTACATCTGACCATGCAGGTACGGAGGTTGGTCCTACGAAGTTGGCCCAGAGGGAACAGACACAGACATGGCTGCCACTGTGTGGTTCAACAACGAAGGTTACCACGCCATGCCAGCATTCTTCAACGCCTTCAGTAACTCTCTTCTCAGAGCCAAATTAGGACAGAAGGCTGGAATGGACCCATCCAAATATGGCATCAGTGTCTACAGTCATCCAATCACATTGCACACAATGACATTGTCACTGGATAGTATGTGAGTATGCACCTTCTTCATATATCCAGTCATCTTTAATTTACAGTTTGATATATTTTGAAATGAAAGCAAATTATTTATCTAAGTAAATGGACCTGTGAAGATCCGGGGTAGAGCAGCAACCCATGCTTGCCATAAAAATCGACTTTGTTTGCCTTAACAGGCGACTAACGGGATCAGGTGGTCAGGCTCGCTGACTTGGTTGATGCATGTCATCGTATCCCAAATGGGTGGTTCGATGCTCATGATATCAATCACTGGATTGTCTGGTCCAGACTGGATTATTTACAGACCACCATCATATAGCTGGAATATTGCTGAGTGCGGCGTTAAACAACAAACAAACAAATTTAAGTGGATGAACCGTCCCTATTTATGTAACAAAATAATAAAATATTTGATGGTTGATGATACTGGTGTCTCTAAATGCTAAACATTCTTGTGACATAGTGAAATACTGTTCAAGGCAGCATCACACCAAACTCATTCACTGTTAATAGGGGTCAACAAGCCACAGATGCTGGAATCTCATTGGTCTTCCTGCTGGCCTTCACCTTCATCTCCACTGCCTTCATGGTCTACCTCGTCAATGAAAACCTGAACAAAGAGAAACAGCTGCAGTTCATCAGCGGAGTTGGGCCTGTCCTCTACTGGGTCACTTCATTCATATGGGACATGGTCAGTAGTATCATAATAATAAATAGCAATAATGATCATAAACTGCTGCCTGCTCATAAGAGGACCTTCACTCACTCAGTGTCTCCTGTTGAAATGAGGTTGGGTGGCCTAGTGGTTGAAGTGCTTGCTTGTCATGCCAAAGGCCCAGGTTCTATTCCCCACATGGGTACAATGTGTAAAGTAGGACTCTGGGTTGAATGGGACGCAGTGTTCCTTGCTTGTTGTAAGATTGGTGATGAGATGATGGACTATTGTTGGTACCCTCTGGTTACTTGTTTATCTGGGTCACTGGTGGCCCAGTCGTTGAAGGCGCTGTGCAGAGTTGCGTCCCTTGGGCACACCAAAAACCTGTGACTGGGTTCGAATCTCGGTTCGCCTCGATTATGTTTCTAGGTTTGTCAGCACCATACCCGTGCTCGTGGGCTTCACTGAAGTGGTAAACGTCTGAGACCTGCATCACTTAGGGCCTTCCTCCCACATTAAGCTGACAGGCCATAATATAACTGGAATAATGTTAAAAGCAGCGTTAAACCCTAGACTTGATGTTTTACAGCTCGTGAATATTGCTGACTGTACCCTCACTCACTCCATTAGATTGCTGCTTTATTTGATAATGAATGTTGTAACAAATTCACTTAACCTTTGATCTGTGTGTCCCAGTTACTGTACAGTTTTACTGTGGCCCTGGCTGTGGTGGCATTGGCCATATTCCAACTCGGACCTTACTGGGACAGACAGAACCTGGCTGCAGTGGTCAGTCTCATCATGTTGTACGGGTAAGTACAGTCCACAGTTCCTCACGACCCCAGACTAAAACACCCTTTGGGGAACCTGGGTTACAATCGCCCCTAGCAACCTATGGTTTTTTTTAAGATGTGACATGATGGATTGGGTGGTCAGATCTTCTGACTTAGTTGATTGCATGTCATTGTACCCTGATGGCATGGATCGTTGCACACAGTCACTGGAATGTCTGGTCTGAATTCAAACATTTACAGGCTTTTTCATATGATGAGTTAAGAAACAACAACAACAGACAAACAACAGTGTTTTCCTTCTTTCTAATATACTTCATTTGGTCTGAAGCATCCTAATTTTGAACATTTATCAACTGAGTGTTTCTGTATGATTGGAATTTCTACAACATTTCACAACATGTGATAATCAGTTGATGTGCATATATTTCCTTATGACTGCCATGCATGTATTTCATGTTTAGAAATGAAACCTTTATTGTAAAGAATATCATTACTATCATCCAACAACTTGAAATACTCTGGTAGCCATTTTGTTTTTTCATTGATGTCAGACATAACCCATGACAGTTGACAAGATCAGGTGAGCTAACAATCACCCGTTTTTCTCCAGATGGTCCGTGATACCACTGATGTACATGACACTGAAGCTATTCAAGAGTGCATCAGCAGCCTACCTCACTCTGTTCTGCATCAACATGCTCATCGGCATACTCACCATCATCACCATCTTTGTGCTGATCATCTTCCAGACTATCGGCACGGTAGGCTACTTACATACAATACTGAGATTAGGCCTTGAAGTAGGATAAACATGAGGCAGTAGTTCTTAATATTACAGTTTTCAGGCATAGTTAGAAATGAATATATTTTGAAAACTAAAAAAATATTGAAGTGCATAAAGTTCACACTATTATATAATTATGCTATAAAATAAGGACACAGTGTGTATACTATGATATGATATGATATGATAGAGAAATAGTACGAGAACTTTCTCTGTTATGAGGAGCAGATCTCAAATTAAGGATGTTTGTGTTTGTATACACAGGTAGCATGTGAATTCACTAAATCTCTTCTTAAGATCTGGGTTCAAAAAGGTCTAAAGCAAACCATGCTTGTTGTAAGAGGCGTCTAACGGGATGGCTGACTTGGTTGATGCATGTCATCATGGTCATCATATCCCAATTATCAATGATCATGATGTCAATCACTGGATTGTCTGGTCCAGACTCGATTGTCTACAGACAGCCCTAATATAACAGGTAAATGCTGAGTGCGGCATTAAACAGCAAACAAATAAACTTAAACAAAACAAATGTTTGAGCAAACAAACAAAGAAACTTAAAATATCCCTTCATTCTTCAGCGCATTGGTGAAGCCTTCAATGTCTGCCGCTACTTGTTCCTCATATTCCCTCAATTCTGCATGGGTCAAGGTCTCATTGATGTCACCGTGAACCACTACAAGTACCTGCTGTTTGCTAGGTTCGGAGACGATGTGTATGAAAATCCCTTCTCCTTCGAGATGCTAGGCTGGAACCTGCTTGCCATGGGGATTCAGGGTCTCGTGTTCTTCATAATCACAATCATTATTGAAAGTAAACGCAGCAATGGCGCAAGGTAACCTTTGTAATATGATGTTTTAGTTTATTATGTTTGAAAAGTTCTTCTTGAATTCTTTATTCAAACTCATTTAGTTTTATCAAAAACAAAATGTTCATAAGATCCTTTTATGAAGTCAATATTCTTAGTTGTAATATATGTACAATGTGTCGTGCATATGTTAAAATGTGCTCCTGTTTATTATGGGGCTGCCTCTGTGGTCTAGTGGTAGAGCATCTGCCCAGAGAGACATTAATAGATAGTACTTGTTGTTACCCTGCCTGGTGGCTGGCATTAAGAGGCTAAAACAAGGACTGGTCGGCTCAGAGTCAGTATGCTGTGTCTGAATGGGGTATTCATGTTTATTGCGGCATGGTATCTCAGTGGGCTAGTACTATAAATCGTCATAAGTCCAAACTAGTATAAGCAGCCACACAGACACATGTGCATGCATGTTGCTATATAAGTGCAGTAATCTTGCAAGCGACGTTAACCTCCATTTCATCTCTCCTGTTTATTATTGACAAGGTATAACTCCATCTTCTTTTCTTATGGGCAAACCAAAGTGGTATAAGTCTAAAACCTACATCACTCCAGGCTGTCCTCCCACATCAAGCTGACATTCAGTGATATTACTGGTATACTGTTCAAAGTGGTGTTAAACCCAACTCACTCACTCTCTTGTAAGAGCAATGGAGTAGCCCAGTTGTTATAGTATTGGATGACAGGAGACTGAGTTGGAGTCCTACTTGCTGGTATACTGTTAAAATTGGAATGAAACCCTTCTCATTCTTTTTAAACTTTAGTCATTTTCTCTAATGTTATTTAAAACAATTTGGTTGATGACTAAAGAAGGATTTCAAAGTATAAGGTTCACAGGAATTATACTCACTAGATGTCACAAATCATTAACAATAAATGTCATGTGTTCACTTGTCATGCTGAAGACCTATAGATTTGACATGTAATATTAAAATGCCCATAGTACAATAATTTAAGAAATCTTTATATCCAACCATCTTAGTGTGAAAAGCTCTTTGTACAACTACATTTAACGTAACAAATGATACACAAATGTGTTGTCTTGGTACATTCTTCAAAACCTAGCAAATCATGTATCTCCATGTGTATATGTGATCCATCCTGTAGTTATATGTTATAATAATCTTTTGCATGGATAAGTTGTAAAAGCTTAAAGTAAATAAAGACTTGAATTGAATCTCTCCTGCTGCAGAATCCCAAGCCGCCTGTTGGACATCCCTGAGGAAGATGGAGATGTCCACAACGAGAGACTTCGTATACAACATGGACAGACAAAGGATGACATTCTCTATGTCAATGGACTTTCAAAGGTGGGGCAGGATATTGTTTAATAAAATCAATTTACTGAAATTCCTGGACTATATTTAGACCAGACATTTTTTGTGTCTTTAATCCTGTCTGTAGGTGGTTAAAAAAGAAATGAAAAACAAGGCTTTTCCGATTTGTAGTTTGGTCTTCCAGAAGGTTATACGGCTGTGCTGCTGCTTTAGTCAAGTTGATCACTTTCATCATACAGTGTAATTTGGTGTAGGTTTTGGGTCAACTTGTTCGCATTCAGTGCAATCCACTTCTTAAACCATGGTTCTACTTGAGATAGATGTTGAGTCCTATTTGTAGCTTGGTTATTATTGTGACCTTGACCTTCCTGCAGATCTACCGTCGAGGCATGAAGAGGTTCCTGGCTGTGGACAATCTGTGCTTCGGTGTCTCAAAGGGAGAGGTAAGGAATGAGGAAGATAAGAATATTGTCAGGTTCTACTATGTAACATAATGATGATGAAAATCAGCAGGATCTATAGCCACATGTTGTATAGAAAAAGGTTTGTTTGTTCCACACAGCACTCAGCATATTCCAACTATTTGATGACAGCCTGTTAATAATGAAGTCTGGGCTGAACAAACTAGTTATTGATATTATGAAGTATTGTTGACTGCTGCATGAAACACACAATCAAGCAAATATTTGTAGGAGGAGGTGGTAAAAATGCTGCCAAGTATTGGTTATACTTGGATTAGTCTCCAGAACTAACTTAATGCCTCTTGCTATCAACCACTTGTTACCTACATATTGCCTAACTGTTGTTATCTCTTTTACATAATTGTCGTTTTGTATGAAGCAATAACTAGGTTACTAGTATGCAAATGACACGTAACATTGTGTCATGTGTGAAGGATAAATCATACTTTTCTTAAAACAAGATGTCACAAATACCACCACTCATTTCCTATGTGTTTTATATCCACTATCTTCTTCAACTCAGTGTTTCGGGCTGCTTGGAGTTAATGGTGCTGGCAAGACAACAACCTTCCGGATGTTGACAGGGGACACCAACACCTCCAGCGGAGCTGCATACCTGAACGGACACAAGTAAGTTGTGCATTAACACCTCTAGCAGAGATGCATACCTAAGCAAACCCAGAGATTTGAGGTGCCTCAATGTGAAGGGTTACGCCCCTTTGGCCACACATCATATATTTTTCATTTCACGGGCCAGGCGCTCCTAATTAAAAAGCAGCCAGTCTAAAAAATAAATTATGCATAAAAATATTTTTATTATCTCTTCCACTAGTAATACAGACCCTCTTATACAATAAAAAATGTTGTATATGAATTCCATGTCTACATCACTATCAGTGATTCAAGAGGCCACATTACCTCCACAGCAGAATGACTTTTATATAAATTAATAATTGACATTTATTCTAATTTATATTTTTAAACAAACTTGTGTGGAAAGCTGGAATAAATCCATGAAACATAAAATTTAAAAAAGTGTGGCCTTAGCTTTGTATCTTATCTGATAGTATAGGGTTAAAAGCTCAAAATCATCTCTCTGAGTCAGCACTTTATTGTGGGTATCACCAAGATGGTAAGTGTCAATATCATGCATAATTTGGCTTCCTTCCAACATTAAGCTGATTCATAATGGTGTAGGTGAATTAATCGCCAAGACAGTAAACCAAACTCACTCGCTCACTCACTTTTCAGGATCAGCACAGGCGACCCCTACCTTGGTCAGGAGATAGGGTACTGTCCACAGGAGGGGGGGTTGGATGGTTTCCTCAGTGGAGAGGAGATCCTCTTCTGCCATGCCAAACTGAAGGGCATGTCTGAACAATACGCTCGCAAGGTGATCAATTGTGCTATTCTCTTACACCAGAAACAACATGAAGCCAGAACTGCTCCTGTTTTATCGATCAGTCTGCTGTACATTTTTGAAAGAAAAGAAATGCCTTGTTTGATTTTGAACAGATGAAATTTCATTGACACACTTTGACCCAAGAACCTTTGTAAAGCCTTGGTACAACAGGGACACAAATTGGCCTGACTGAAAGCAAGCATTATGATGCATAGAAACAACTGGAATGATCAATAGCAAATTCAGACATTTCTGTGTTTGTCAATTGTTCACAGAAGTAGTGTTTAAATAGCATGTAATCATCCATCTTCCTGAAGCAAAGGAGTTAACTGACTTTAAAAGTCCAGTTGCCACCCTTGCTGAACTAGGCTGGAATAATGGAGTTATATTTTGTCTGGACTAACGAGTCTATGCATTGTCCAATCAAAATCCTGCAATGAAATTGACGTGCGGTTCATAAACAATATGGCAACTGCCTGCTGAATTTGTTGGATTGCAGGATTCGCAGACCATGTGTACCATCAAATGGGCTTTGACAAATATTTTCCAAATCTTTTAATGTTTTAATCAAGGTGATCAAGTGATTTGATGCACTTTGCAAGGTAAAACCTGTTTTATTGCAATAAAGATCTTCATTATCGATAGGATCATATTGACTTTGAATATATGGAATATTATTGGTCATCGGGGGGACATAGTAGGGACATAACTCATTATAGCCACTGATGGTGCTACGATCGAGTCCAGAAATTCTAGACTAGTTTGGCAGGAGTGGAAACTGGACTTTTAACATACGTTAACTCACATGCCTTGGGAAGATGTTTATCATCTTTATACTTGCATAGTTTATTAAGAGGAGTTTCTTTTGTGAAACCAGGTGGTTGTGGACTTGGTGGGCAAGCTCCACCTGGCTGCCTACGCTCAGAAGGCCATCAACACATACAGTGGTGGCACCAAGAGGAAGCTGTCACTTGCCATCGCCATGTTGGGAGAACCACCCGTCCTCTTCCTGGTAAATACACTTCAGTCTGACAGTCTTACAGTACTCTAACCTCATTCTTCTTCAAATACTCAAACCTAGTTCTTCTTCAAATACTCAAAACCTAGTTTTTCAAATACCCAAACCTAGTCCTTCAAATACCCAAACCTAGTCCTTCAAATACCCAAACCTAGTCCTTCAAATATTACCATCTATGTCCCTGTTGGAGTCGTGGGACACACTTGGCCTGAAACACTTTATGCTTGTTGTTAAGCCAACAAAATTGGGCATGGAATGTTGAGAGTCTGTGACTTGGTTGATCACACTCTGATGGCGTTTCTCGTAATATCAATCATTGGTTTGTCTGGTCCAAGCCCTGTTTATTAATGTGTAAAACAATATTCACTCCTTTCACTCATTGTCTTATTATAAGGGCCATCATGTGTCAAACCAAATTTATTGACAATTGTTGATTTCACACATAAAGAAGTTGATTTCCATAATTCCTACACCGTAAAGTTTCTATATCATGACTGGATTTGGATAAGGATTCAGTACACTTACCTCCCCTTGCAGGATGAACCCACGTCAGGCATGGACCCTGCCACCAGGAGGCTTGTGTGGAAGTGTATATCTAAGGCTGGACAGAATGGACAGTCCATTGTTCTTACTTCACACAGGTGAGTTAAGGAACTATTTCCCAAAATAACGTGTATGCACTGCAGTCCAACATGGACAGATACAAGGAGTATAACAAGGAGTATTTTTATGGCCGAGCCATCTGAGATGGACACAGACCAGTGGTCAGGCTCTGAGGTGCGGCTGCTGCCGGCATGTCTTTGTGCTCCGATGATGTGGATCGTTGCCTAGACTGTCAGTCCCTGGTGTTCCAGTCTCCATTGTTTACATGCTGCTCTGATCTAGCTAGTGAAACAACATTCACTGATTCGGCTTGGAATCAATTTGGGGCCGGTCAGGTAGCCTAGTGGTTAAAGCGTTCGCTCGCCACGTCGAAGACCTGGGTTCGATTCCCGACATGGGTACAATGTGTGAAGCCCATTTCTGGTGTCCGCCCATCGTGATATTGCTGGAATATTGCTAAAAGCGGCGTAAGACCATACTCACTCACTCACTTACTTACTCACTGGAAATGATTTGGTTATAACTTTGTTGGTCTTTTTCATTCTGTGTTGCAAAGAACACATTTCTTATATATGTATAAAACTATTTTGATTCAATGTGTGTTGAACTGGATTCCAGCATGGATGAATGTGATTCCCTGTGTTCCCGACTGGCCATCATGGTCAATGGCAGACTCATGTGTCTTGGCAGTGCCCAGCATCTCAAGACGAAGTAAGTCAACCATACACTTTTACAATGCATGAAAAAATGTTAAATAATGTTTCAAATTATTTGTTGCAGTTTGTTTCAATGTTAGAGATACTGGTAGATATTATTACCTTTTAGGCAAACTCATCTTGATTAACAGATTTGATTGACACATCAAAAATACAAACAAACAGACGTTTGTTAGGCCATGGTATACAGATTACCGGTATTAGATTTTTATATGGTGTGCCTTTACCTTGGTGGGGTATCCTAGTGGATGAAGCATTTGGTTGTCACAGTTGGCCAGTTTGAGTCCCTCATGGTTACAGGGCTGTGGGGTAGCCTCGTGGTTACAGCGTTTGCTCGTCATACCAGAGACCCGGGTTCGATTACCCACATGGGTACAATGTGTGAAGCCGATTTCTGGTGTCCCTCCGCTGTGATATTGCTGGAATATTACTAAAAGCTGCCTAAAACCAGACTCACTCACTCATTCAACCCAATGGTTGCAATGTCTGAAGCCAATTTTTGCTCATTCACACACAAAGTGAGCTACATATATGGATCTAATGAATTCCTTATAATAATCCAGGTTCGGCGATGGCTATACCGTGACAATGCACATCCAGGGCTTGTCCAACAACCGCTTCAACATTGAGCAGGCCTTCCTCAACCGCTTCCCTGGCGCGACCATCAAGGTCAGTGTGGGAGGCAAGGTCAGTAGTGTTATTATTTTATTTCCCCTCTGGACCATGCGATGCTGTATTCCTACTTGAGCTCAACTGACCACTACTCTCTCAACTCTGCACATCTCACAGTAAGGCAAGCCTTTTCTAATACTCAAGAAATATGGCACAATGGTTTCAAACATTTGGGTCTCACCAAATTTAGGTTGTAGTCCCAATGAATCCCTTAAATCATGAAGGATGGCTACCTTGTATGGTTATTTGGATACTATGGTCTGTATGTGCCTGTAGTTAATGCCTAGGGATTCAGGGTCAGAATAGATTGGAGGACATGTAAGGAAAGTTGCGATGTTGACACAAAGTATTGTCAAGGATGTCAGTGTCTACTTGTGATCAGGGTGTATGTCATACTGTGTACTGGATCATTGGTGCCATGTTTCTTCTATCAGCATGTTCAGTTTGTAGCTAAAAATTCTATCCTGGATGGTATATGTTGAATACAGTGAAACCCTCACATTCCAGACAGTATTTTCTGAAACTCCTGTTTAATCAATCATGGGTGTCCCTCAAATTATACAGAGCTGCCTCCAGTTACATGTCAGCAGATGCAAGGACTGTAAGGGTTTCACTGTAGCATGATGAGAACATATACCAAAATAACAAACTCTTGCTGACAAAAGCTTGTTACCCTGGCAATGTGAGTTAAAACATGATATGTATGTCATGTTTGGTGGGTGATCTGCAGGACGTCCTCCTCAAGCAGCATGTATTTTATTAAAAACACTTGTTCAATTTTTATCAAGTTTTTGTATTCTGATATTTTTCTTGACCATGTTGATGTTTCTTATTGGCAACATTGTGACTATAAACTGCAAAATTCATGTCACAGTTTTGGTAGATTTTATATGTCAGTACATATCTTGCCATCTCTAGAGAAACATCCATAAAATCATCATACGATGATGTGCTTGAAGATGAGAGACTTACAATGTGAAATTACTTTTGGGTGTTGTGACGTATTATTATATATTAATCAGCATCATTCTGAATATCAACTGTTCTTTTCAACATTCTTCATATTTGATTGTAAGTAAGTTATAGAACATTCTCATACCGGCTTAAAACTCCTGAGTAGAGTTTCCTGGCATCTTCTGAGAAACACATGAGACATGAACATTGGTAGGTAGATATGGCAGGAGAACCATGGGATAAGGAGCAAATGAGTGCTGCCGGACACACTTCCTTTTCTCCAATTGGCTATACACACATGTGTAAGGTGTATATTGGGATATATCGTCAGGTTTTTATCTCCCCGGACTGAAAGTCGGTAACGAGAGTTGACTAATTCCAGTGGAGAGTGGAAGGTCGGGGATTCCCTCCCCGGCTGCGTCATAGCAAAAGACATTTAAAAATGGTCCTTGCTGTTACCCTGCCTGGGACTCGGAATGAAGGTGCTAAAACAAGGAGTCAGTATACTGTGTCTGTGGGGAGTATTCATGTTAAACTGCATCATGGTATCTCAGTGGGCTAGCACTATAACATCGACATTAGTCTGGACTAAAAAACAAACACGCGTTCATGCACGTCGCTATATTAGTGCCATACTCGTTAAAAGCGTCATCAAACCTCATTTCACCTCACCTCACCTTAACTCCAGTGTAACGTTTCTCTTTTGATTATATTATTATGTTTTACATCGATTCTGCATGTCACTATATGAACTTCCCTGTGCTATCATCCAAGGCCAGTGACACAGATCGGCAATCTTCCTTCTCCAATGTCCTCAGAATGCTCTGTGATCCCTATATATATGTGTATATGATTCAATAAAATGTTCCACCTTGTGACATTCAAATGAGTATGATGTTCTCCCAGTCATCCTTCTGAATGCTTTTGGACTTTCATATTATCTATTGATGCTATGTTATATACCTGTGAACTCTGTAGAATCCTGTAGAATCCTATTAGACTAACATCTAGTCTCTGAAATGAACATATCGTACATAAAAAAACAGTTGTTCAGTTATCTTAATAAAAATATAATAAAAAGGAGCCCAGTGACTCTCTTCATTTTCAGAGCTACTGCAGTGATCTAGACTTGCCAAACATTATAGACTTGCATGGGCTGTATTTGATATATACTTGTATCAGGGTCTGTAAGACAGACTAGAATCCTATAGAATCCTGTAGAATCCTATAGAACACTGTTGAATCCTATAGGCCTCTGTAGAACATTGTAAACCCAGCAGAATCGCTATGGAACTAGTACCAACCCCAGCCTCTATATCTGTGTCACCACTTTAGGGTCAGTTTGAGGAACTGTAGTAGTTCTGATCGTTTACTTTATCAACTCTTAATATAAAAGTTAGGGCTGCAACGATACACCTAGGTCACGATAAGATACGTATCTCGATACTTACATCACGATACGATGCGTATCTCGATACGCTACGATACATATAGTAACAAGAGAAGACAAGAGGTAAATGAATTAAACTTAGTTTATTAAAATGAAAAATTAAATGAACGTGAATGAATGTTCATGAGTCATAAAATATACTAGCCACATAAAGAAACTGTGCACGGAGAAAAATATATTCTGGATTGAAATACAACACAGCAAGAACAAAATGATGCAGACGCTGTAGCAGCTGAATGATCGGACCATAAGAAAATGTCAACGGGACCTGAACAATATCTGTTACGATGACGTCAGGAGATCAAAATGGAGTAGGGGGTCAAACGACAAAGTCACAAAGTCAATAACGGGTACGACCACCCTGTGCGTGAATCACAGCAGTGCATCGGCGACGCATGGAGTCCACCAAATGGGCATGGAAGGCCTGGGGAATGGCCTGCCATATCCTCCTCAAATCCTGTGCCAAGTCACGGACGTTATCTGGAGGATGTGGAAGACGACGCAGACGGCGCTCCATTTTATCCCACACATGCTCTATTGGGGAGAGATCTGGAGAATTTGCAGGCCATGGCAGTAACATGACATTGTTATTGTGAAGGAAATCGATCGCGACCCTATCCGTGTGAGGACGAGCGTTGTCCTGTTGAAATGTCAATCCCGGGCCATGACGTTGCAGGAAAGGAATGACCACAGGCCTCAGAATCTGATCTCTGTAGCCAACACCGGTGAGATTGCCCTGAACAACCACCAAAGGGGTTCGGTGCCATGCTGTTATCCCACCCCAAATCATCACAGAGCCACCTCCAAAACGATTCCTCTCCACAATACAGTTGCGTGCATAACGTTCTCCCAAACGCCGGTAGACACGTTGGCGCCCGTCACTGTGGGAAATGTTGAACCTCGATTCATCTGTAAAGACAACATTTCTCCACCATATTCGAGGTTGGCGAACATGATTTCGACACCATCTTTGACGGTTGACTCGATGACGGTGTGTCAGGATGGGACGTATGGCAGGGCGTCGTGGTCGAATCCCGTACTGACGTAAACGATTCCTGACAGTGTTGGGATGGATACGGCGCAGTCCAGGAATTGTCTGGGATGTCGTTACTGCCGTTTGGAACCTGTGTCGGAGATGTGTAACTCGAATCCATCTGTCCTGTCTTGGCGTCGTTACTCGGGGACGTCCTGAACGTGGGTGGTCGGCAACGTCATTTGTGTTCTGATAACGCCTCACCAATGCCGATATCGTGTTACGATGGCATTGGAAATGTGTTGCCACCTGTTGTTGCCTCATTCCCGCTCGGATCATTCCAATGGCTTCATGACGCTGTGCAGCTGTCAATCTTAGCATGATTTGCTTGTGATATGCTTGTGTCTGCGCCTGAGGAGTTTTGAATTTTTGAATGACCACAGATCATGCTTTCCAAAATGACAGCGAATTTTGAGTTGCACATGCTGTGTACAGCTGCACAGGGTGCACGTGCAGTAACACATTTCACGTCCATAGGACCCCATCAATGACGTCATATCGCATGGCACGTGCATGAGCGTTTGAATGTCTCCAATAATTGCTGTGTTTTCATATATGGACGGTGTGCCCTTATATCTATATTTTCTCCGTGCACAGTTTCATTATGTGGCTAGTATATATACTGTAATGAGTATATTAACTTAATAAATCATCTGCCATTTCCATGTAAATGCCAGCAAACACAACAGCAACAATCCTACATATTTGTGTGTTCAGACGAGATGGTAGGAGTAAATACTAAATGAAGCAGTGTCCAGTAACTTATGATTTGCCATTTTCATGTATTTTTTTTGGGCAACCGACGGAACCGTAATGTTATACAGCATTTGAATCCTAGTGTTTATAAATATGAAAGTTACATTTATCACATTATTTAAATAATGCATTTACAACTTAATTAAGTTCGTTGTACATAAACAAATGTAAGCTAACACATTCATAACGTCCAGATTAAGGACCAAGGAATATTTATATATATGTACCTCTTAGAAAAAACGTATCGTGAAAAATCGAGATACAGCACCTCACAAATCGCGCACCATATCGTATGGAGTGAATCGCGATGCATCGGTGTCCCGGGATATCGTTTCAGCCCTAATAAAAGTCAACATGGTTGGTAAAGGACACATTTGAGGTCACCATGGCCAAAGGTCAAAGTGAACTTGTGGCATTGGTATGTCATCTGTGCATCCATCTATTAACTTTCAAACTCCTCCAAACTGGCTGGAAGAGCCTAAAACTTTATGAGGATCATTACAGGATTCATGGAATTAAATTTGTAATAATTCCTTTTTAAATAAAAACCCAAACAAGATAATCTCTCTGGCTTCATCATTATATTGTTATCTTTGTCCATTAATCCCATGTCATAGGCTTTGTCATTATATTATTATCTTTGTACAGTAGAACACGGATACAACGAACTATTAAAAAATCCCTGAATTATCTCCTATATATATTATCATATAAAATTTACGTACATAACGAACTCTCTACAGCGAACTAACAGATCTAATGAACTGATATCTGATTCCCGACAAGCCCATCTACCACTAATTAGTGACGTGTATGAGAACTGAGAAATCTCACTCAGTGTCAAGTGTCACTGACAATTGGCTGTTCGCAATCAGCGGCGAGTCAACACAATCAGCGGCGAGTCAACACAACTCGCGGCGAATCAACACAATCACTGGTGATGATTCGACCTTGTTAAACTTGCATTATGTTAATCTTACCTGTCCATGTAATTTCGACCAATCTTGTCTGTAAAACAAACATTAATCCTACAACTGGATCAAAATATTTTGAAGTTGTATCATTAAGGACTGAATCACCGGTAGATGCGAGAGGAAACGCGTGTATGTGTATTGTGTTTTTCTTTAGCGGATGGCGGACATTTCCGACGTATATAACGTATATATCGAACAACGTATATAACGAACTGATTTCTGCGGTCCCTTGTAGTTCGTTATATCCATGTTCTTCTGTACATTCATTCCACATTGTGTTAGGTAAACATATCTATCTATCTATCATCTATCCATCCATCCATCTATCCATCCATCCATCCATCCATCCATCCATGAACTTACAGAGCAAGAAGTAGCTCTGAAACGCCATAACAAAGAATACAGGTTGCTATCCATAAAAAGTGTCATGTATCCATGTTCTCGCAACTTCTAAAAGCCTATCAAAGACTTCAAGTTTAAGAAGAATCTTTACAACTCTTCTAAGAAACCATAAGATCCCGTAATGTGAAACATTGACATGTGTAGCTATACCATGGGATTGAGGTTTGTCAATGTTCACTTTTATATAGAAATATCTCAAGTTTATGCTGAAGTCATGGGCAGAATTACTAGTGTGGGGTGAAGTCTGATAGGGCTGAAGTCTGACAAAGTGAGGATAGGGGTGAAGTCTGACAAAGTGGGGATAGGGCTGAAGTCTGACAAACTAGGGATAGGGCTGAAGTCTGTGGGGATAGGGTAAAGTCTGATAGGGCTAAAGTCTGACAAACTAGGGATAGGGCTGAAGTCTGACAAAGTGGGGATAGGGCTGAAGTCTGACAAACTAGGGATAGGGCTGAAGTCTGTGGGGATAGGGTGAAGTCTGATAGGGCTGAAGTCTGACAAACTAGGGATAGGGCTGAAGTCTGACAAACTAGGGATAGGGCTGAAGTCTGTGGGGATAGGGTGAAGTCTGATAGGGCTGAAGTCTGACAAACTAGGGATAGGGCTGAAGTCTGTGGGGATAGGGTGAAGTCTGATAGGGCTGAAGTCTGACAAAGTGGGGATAGGACTGAAGTCTGACAAACTAGGGATAGGGCTGAAGTCTGTGGGGATAGGGTGAAGTCTGATAGGGCTGAAGTCTGACAAAGTGGGAAAAGGGGTGAAGTCTGACAGGAGTGAAGTGTGACAAAATGGGAAAAGGGCTGAAGTCTGACAAAGCGGGAATAGGGCTGAAGTCTGACAAAGTGGGGATAGGGCTGAAGTCTGACAAAGTGGGGATAGGGCTGAAGTCTGACAAAGTGGGGATAGGGCTGAAGTCTGACCTGACATGTAGCAACCCTGACCTGACGTAGCAACCCTGAGCTAATTTGTAGCAACCCTGACCTGACCTGATATTTTGAAACCCTGCCTGATCTGTCACAACCCTGACCTGATCTGTAGCAACCCTGACCTGACTTGATATTTGAAACCCTAACCTGATCTGTAACAACCCTGACCTGATCTGTAGCAACCCTGACCTGATCTGTAGCAACCATGACCTGATCTGTAACAACCCTGGCCTGATCTGTAGCAACCCTGACCTGATCTGTAGCAACCCTGACCTGATCTGTAGCAACCCTGACCTGATCTGTAACAACCCTGACCTGATCTGTAGCAACCCTGACCTGATCTGTAACAACCCTGACCTGATCTGTAGCAACCCTGACCTGATCTGTAGCAACCATGACCTGATCTGTAGCAACCCTGACATGATCTGTAGCAACCATGACCTGATATGTTGAAACCCAGACCTGATCTGTAGCAACCCTGACCTGACCTGATCTGTAGCAACCCTGACCTGATCTGTAGCAACCCTGACCTGATCTGTAGCAACCATGACCTGATCTGTAGCAACCCTGACCTGATCTGTAGCAACCATGACCTGATCTGTAGCAACCCTGACATGATCTGTAGCAACCATGACCTGATATGTTGAAACCCAGACCTGATCTGTAGCAACCCTGACCTGACCTGATCTGTAGCAACCCTGACCTGATCTGTAGCAACCCTGACCTGATCTGTAGCAACCCTGACCTGATCTGTAGCAACCCTGACCTGACCTGACCTATTTCATCGTATTGATGACACAAAAACATGACAGATCAATGGGAGGGTCTATAGAAAAATCATATCATTTTAGGAAGAGTGAAAACTAAACAAACTTCGGGAGGGTGAATGGCTGTTTAATGGTGGATGATAACTGTATCTAACTTGGGTTTGTGTTTTCAACATGATTAGATTATTGTTCTACTTAGCACAACATTGATCTGTGCGAGTGAAAACATGGGGCCACAGTGTCATCAATATAGGAAGTACCTAGCAGATCACTCTGTAGAATGAGGCCTTCCAGGAATAGGTGCCCCTCAGTGTGGAATAGTGTTTATTGTCTGTCCCACACTCTATTACCTTAATAACACTAGTTGTTCCATGGAATAGGCTGGGAGCCCGGCCATGCTGACTTCCTTGTGCCTGTTGTTCACGTACACCCATGATAATACTTGTGCCTGTTGTTCAGGGTACACCCATGATAATACTTGTGCCTGTTGTTCAGGGTACACCCATGATAATACTTGTGCCTGTTGTTAAGGGTACACCCATGATAATACTTGTGCCTGTTGTTCAGGGTACACCCATGATAATACTTGTGCCTGTTGTTCAGGGTACACCCATGATAATACTTGTGCCTGTTGTTAAGGGTACACCCATGATAATACTTGTGCCTGTTGTTAAGGGTACACCCATGATAATACTTGTGCCTGTTGTTCAGGGTACACCCATGATAATACTTGTGCCTGTTGTTAAGGGTACACCCATGATAATACTTGTGCATGATAATACTACAGGACCAGCACACCAGTGTACTTGAAGTTGGCATTCCGCGCAACACAACATCTGTGTCAGAGCTGTTCTCCATCCTCCAGACAGCCCAAGAGAAAAACCACATCACCAGATACTCCCTCTCTCAAACTACACTGGATACTGTAAGTATTGTAAATAACGATATTCTATATCTCAAACATCACTGGATACTGTAAGTATTGTTAATAAGGATACTCCCTCTCTCAAACTACACTGGATACTGTAAGTATTGTTAATAACGATATTCCCTTGCTCAAACATCACTGGATACTGTAAGTATTGTTAATAACGATATTCCCTTGCTCAAACATCACTGGATACTGTAAGTATTGTTAATAACGATATTCCCTTGCTCAAACATCACTGGATACTGTAAGTATTGTAAATAACAATATTCCATATCTCAAACATCACTGGATACTGTAAGTATTGTTGATAATGATATTCCATATCTCAAACATCAAGTAGAGTTTATTTCCTCCAAGTTTCAGGCCATAGGCCCATAGAACATACATTATATCAATATAGTGTATGCATATGGATAGTCCAATCAAAATCGGGTAACGAAATTCGGTTGTTCGCAGGATTTGCGAAGCTTGTATATCGTCAACTTAGTGTCAACAGATACTGTCAAAATCTTTTCATGTTTTTAATCAAGGTACTCACGTGATTTGATGCACTTCGCGGAGTAAGACCCTTTTTATTTTAAAAGCTTGATTATATCGATCAGATCATCTTTACTGAAGCAAATGCAAGTGATATGAGACGAGGAATCTGATTGGTCAATAGAAGGAACAGAACTTGTAATGGCCCCAGGTGTCAATAGAGTGAGCCCAGAAATTCATAATAAACTTGACTGTTACAGTCAGTTAATCCGTTCCTCCGGAACATGTTAATCTTCATCATAAAATATAAGTTAATTTAATCAGTAACAGCTAACAGCAGTTAATCACTTGCCTTGAACAAGCTTCTTTAGTAATGTAGTGCTAAACCAAAGGAGTGTGCCTGATGAAGGCCAGCAGGCCAGAACATTGAGATCATGTGTACTGATGATCAAGTTTTAGTTAGCAGACTATTACAGAGTCATTTTAAGGACTTGAATTAAATTTGCTAGGACTGCCATTTTCCCCAGGGCTAGTCCCCTTTTAAGAACTCTGCATGCTTTAAGACCTGAATTGAATTTGTTTCAGGTGTTTGTCAACTTCGCCCAAGAACAATCTGACAGCATCTCTGATAAAGATGATGATCTGTCCACGTCTGGTGGGGAGTCTGGATCGGAGCAGTCAGGAATACTCCCAGGACCATTCTCCAATCAGACATATGCGTACATGAACCCACAGTATATGGCGGACCCTCAAGATGAGCGATTCTCATCACAATACGCAGCCAACCTTGCACAGGCCTCCACTAGCATCTCCATGAAGGAAGGCAAAATTAACAAGGCCTTCGATGACGATAACAAGGTGTTTGATACAAGATTGTGATTGATAACAGCTTTTCCAACAGATGACTGACTTTAATGTTTTGTGAAAACATCCTTAATCTTCAGACCAAATGTGACAGTTTTATTGTGCAACTGTATTTCTAAAACTTACATCCATATTTTGCAATTATGATAAAGAATTTTGTCATCTGAGTGGTTTTGCATGATAACCACAAAACTCATAGTTTCAGCTTCTGTAAACAAATCAATGAGGACACTGAAGTCCTTACACTGTATTGATTGCTAGCATAATATTTGTATATAGAACAAAATTCATTAAAATTTACCAAACAATAAATCTTGCTAATGGACATTTCACCTGAAATGTTCAGGCATGTGGACCTATGTTTCATCAACTCAGTTTAACAATTTGCAGTATGTTTTGTGATATTGTTTCATATTCAGTTAAGCAAGATAACAATGCAAATTGTTGTTTTATCATGTTAATAGCATTCCCAATGAAGATAATATTTTATAGTATTTACTAGAATATTGTAATATTATAGAGGTCGATCTGTCAATTTCAAGTATTTGTATGACGATATATATCAACATAATACAACCTTTTTACTTTTTAAACATGACTTTTGTATCATAATTTTCAATTTCTCATGATAGGGTATAAACATATCATCATGCGACAAATGAACAAAAACTTCAATACTTCTCTCTCAGCAACTTTATACAAAATATGCTCCATGCAAGTTGTTTTTCCACTGTAACGAATGATTTAAATAACAATTGTTTGAAAGAAATAATATTTCAAATGTCTTATTCATATTGCACAGAACAGGAATCATAGTGGGGTTGGTAGCACATTTTGCAATGCTCCATTCCATTCTATCAGCATTTAAAGGGTAAAAGAATTGCTCAAAGCTTTATGTTTTTTCAACTGTAGACTACAACTTGTAAGTGATGCTTGGATAATAGGGTGCAATACAATGTTTGTCTCGTAGAAGCATCTGTCAAAGTTTAATGTCATGTTCCTTTCTGTTCTGTGTACATTTGTATGATGAACCAGTACCAGTTGTTTATGGTAATCTTAAAATACGTTTTTTTAATGTTTTAAATAAATCAAATGGAGACAATGTACTGTGATTTGTTTCCTGAGAATCAACAATTTGCATAATAGGAACCAAATCTGTGTTGCCACTGTTCTGACATAATTTGGTTCATTTTGTTTTCAATGTGTAACTTTGTACAAGTCTCTCTCTGATCTGTTTTGCATGGAGCCAGAGGATTGTTTAGCCTCTCTCTACAGACGCTTTGTATCATGTGACCAGAATAATCAGCTATTGTGATGTGTATATATTATGGTGATACACTATTTTGTGGATACAGCCTAATATGTACAGACAATTTTATTACTTTCATATTTTCAATATTACAATTATAGATAGATGCAATATATATTTTTAAATATTTTTAACAAAATCCTGTTTTTCTAAATAAACTATATGATGCAATTTAAAATGTTTTTGGTAAATATGTGTTGACCATAATTAATTCAGAAAATATATTTTCATCCCTGTAGTGAGTGAGTGAGTGGGGTTTTATGCCGCTTTTAGCAATATTCCAGCAATATCACGGCAGGGAACACCAGAAATGGGCATTACACCTTGTACCCATGTCGGGAATCGAACCCGGGTCTTCGGCGTGATGAGCGAACGCTTTAAAAACTAGACTACCCGACCACCCCTTCATCCCTGTAATACTTCATGAGTGAGGGGTTTAGGTACAGTGGACATGTATCCCAGTGGTACAACACCTTGATCTGGGATTGGTTGTTGGTTGGCTTGTTGTTTACCGCCGCACTCAGCAAAATTCCAGCTATATGACGGAGGTCTGTAAATAACAAGTCTGGACCAGACAATCCAGAGATTAATATCATGAGCATCGATCCACGCAATTGGGATATGATGACAAGCATCAACCAAGTCAGTGAGCCTGGCCACCTGATCCCATTAGTCGCTTCTTACGACAAGCATAGTCGCTTCTTACGACAAGCATAGTCGCTTTTTACGGCAAGCATGGGTTGCTGAAGACCTATTCTACCCCGGATCTTCAAGGGTCTCTTGATGTAGGAGGAACGTGATGCAAGATCACATCTACCACTTCTGTGAAACACATATATTGTGCTGACAGTGCTTGTTTGTTGTTTCACGACGCACTCAGCAATATTCCAGTTATATGACGCAGTCTGTAAATATCCAGTCTGGACAATACAGTGATTGACATCATGAGGATTGTTGTACGCAGTTGGGATATGATGACATGCATCAACCAAGTCAGCGAGCCTGACCACCCAATCTTGTTAGTTGCCTCTTACGACAAGCATAGTCACCTCTTATGGCAAGCATGGGTTGCTGAAGACCTATACTCTACCCAGATCTTCACGGGTTGTGTTGACAGTGAGATTACACTACACGTGTATCATGTGTTCATAATTGAGACACGTGAGAATAACTCTGGAAAGTAACACCATGTATCAATAGAGTACAGCTAAAGCAGGGCTTGATTCGAGGAACTTCATTCAACTCTTGACTCTTGTTGTCATGAAAACCAAGTTGCACCACACATAACCAGGTTGCACCTGGTGCCATAAATTTACCAAAGTTCAAACAGGATGGCCTGCTGCCAATGTCACAAAAATTAACATTTTGATGTCAAACACAATAGCAACATGCCCATAATCTGGAAGTACTACAAGTTTGACGGCATGAAGCCCATTAACGTATGACAAATTACACATAGTACAGGAAAGGGTGATGTAGTTTGGTCAGGACACCTTACAGATTTTGAGTTCAAAGATCGATTTTGTTGGGGTGGTTAGTCAGACACAAATTTGATTATTTTTTACATGCACCCGATTCATTTAGACATGAATATAAAGTTACATTTTCAAAAATAGGTTCCATTGGTGCATCTTTTATATTGCTAAATCAATCCCTGTAAAGGCTCTGGTCCAGTGGGGATTTGTCAATTTGGTCATGTGTTATACAATAATATCCTGACCATGTCCTCAAACCTTGTACACTTTGTACAACAGTGTCCCTTGAGATGCATGGACATCGAGATTTACACCGATGCCAGGGCTGTTGGATTAAGTGGAAAGTGCTGTTCACTAGATACATGGATGTGCTAACTTGAGTAGAATAAACAACGATTAAAACCAACTCAAAAGGACCACAAATTTTAATTCGTTATAACCGTAGTTCTTTATAAGCAGTTCGACTGTCGGACATTTTGGATCAAGTCACATTTCCACACTCCAGTCATTTCCTACACAGAATATATCCACTTCAACTGCTACAGCCTAATCACTATTATTTATTGAGGGCCTAATTTGAAAAAAAGGGTGTCAGTACTTAATGCAGTTAATCACTTGCCTTCAATTGATTATTGCTGCTTTGAACAAATATTTTGATAGGCTGTTTGGTGATAGTCGAGCAGCTCAGTGTTTAACAGCTCATTGTAAACATAAACTTTGTCATTGACAGAGTACACATGGGACCACATAGTGAGTTCGCCATCTCATTTAGTTTGTGTTTTTGTTATATCAATCAAGTTTATATAATAAAATTTACAGCAAATGGCCAAGACCCCCAAAAGAGTTTATTATATCCGTCAGTTTGTGTTCATGATAAATGTAGTTTACTGTCTGTGCTCTACGGCAGATAGAGAATGTGACACAGTAATTCAAGATAAAAAGATACTGTTGCATGAACAATATGGCTCCACTTGACCACTTTTTCTCTCTTCTGTCACAAGTCCCCAATATATATTCTGAATACTTATAACACTAAATTTTAAAACTTATCTAACCTCACACTATGCAATTCTTTCTTCTTCTTCAATCCTACGTGGAAACGTGCTTGTACAGAGTTTCCAGCTTCTAAAAAACAATTCACCAAAACACATCCCAGCATCACCCAAACAAGCATTGTAATCCTGTGAATAGCGACCTCACACGACCTGATCACTTCATCGTCTTTCTCATTGCCACACTGTGGAGATGTTTTTTTGGAATATTACAGAATCATTCACTGATGCATCCAAAGCTGCCTTGGATACGCCTTTAGTCGACCCTCTTTGCACTCTTTCACCTTTGCGTGATGTTCAGATTGATGGTGATTGTTCCTCTCCATCCACAATCACTTTTGCTCCAGGTCAATCATACTACGTACTACAGGCCGCTACTGTCACGTCCAATCCTCATGAGACTTGAGTCGTTGCCTCTCCCATGGACTTGCAGAGCAATTGCTCCCTATCCACCGTTATGGAAGGGTGCTTTTGGAAGTCAGATACAGTCTTTGTTTCCAATTATCTCTGTGACATCTCTGTTACTGACGTCCAGGGCCTTCATCACTTCTGTCCCTTGGTCCTGGCACAGCAGCTGTCTGATGTGTGTTCCCACTCCTGCTCTTTCACACTATGCTTCGTGTATATACAGAATTAATCTTGAAACTTTTGCTTTATTGATTTATTTTTTATTATTCGGACTCCCAGGTTTTTCGCGCTAGACAACCAACTCAAGGGATCATTTTGAAGGAACAGCATCGTTGGCTGGAACGTCAATGGTGCCAAGGTCACAGAGTACGGCCACAACTGTGATTGCACCAAGTTTGGTTTTGAGATGACGTTTTTTGCTTCGTCGTGCAGATGGGAGACGTCGTGTTTACAGGTTTCACGGGGTACATTATACCCGAAACTGCATACAGGTAGAATTGACTTGGTGCAAGTTCAAGGGAATTTAACTGCAAAGTGTTACACGGATGAGATTCTTCGGCCACACTTCCTTCCCAATATGCAACAAGTGAACTTCATTTGCAAACCAGACTATACCCAACCTCACATGGCAAAACTGGCAACAGTCTTTTTGAGGAATCACAACATCCAGATCCTGCCATGGCCCTCCAGGTCAACCACAGTGCAAATTTTGACCAATCGATCACCAACCCTTGCTTATATATATATAACACATATACATATCAAATCACTTTTGGGTTTCTTTTTTTGCAGAGATTTGCATTGGTACACTTTCAAGATATCATGTAATACTACCTCATGTTTCAGAAGTTGGATGTAACCATGGTAACACCAGGGCACTAAATCAGTACTGTTAAAAGAATGACAGTAAGCGCAGTAGAAAGGAAACAGTTTATTTTTACGTATTATCAAACAGAAAACTTGGACTAATATCGTCATCAACGACATTGTTCTTCCCTTCAACATCAGCATTGCAGGGTGACTGCTGCACAGTGTCAGGTCTGGCCTTTCTGTTCTTCCTGTTCTTCTTAGTCTTCTCGCTCTCTGGTTTCGACAGCATCGCACTGAAGTTCTCATGAAACCTAAAACACAAATATCTTCATAAAAACAATAGCGCTGATTAAGCGTCTGCAAAAAACACATTGACAAAATCTTGGACAAACCTGGTTCCTAACATTTCCAATCTCATTAAAATCATATCTGAGTTCTCGTTGCTGCTACACAAAGATCTGAGGACATCCCATTAAGCGTTATGTCAGAATGACCTTTCGCAAACTTTGACTGACCACTGAAATGACTAACAAGAAGTCAACATCAGCCTATTACAAAGCAGCTTTCTTGAGCTTTACGGGACACGTATCAACCTGGCGACTTCCTTTTCAGACTACGCTTGAAAAAATATGTTGACAGTTCTCGATTAAAATTTTGAAAACTGAACAAACGAACATTCCAGAATGTCTAATATATAGTTGAGATTGTATAGCAGTGCTTCCAATGTACTGTGCAACACCTCCTCCGTTCAAATGTTTATCCCACGGAAGCGAGAGATACACAATAATTTTGATGGAATCAGTCGTACCGGCCGTAATTTTCATTTGGAATACCCCGTGTTAACGTGGTCAGACAACCAATTCCGACCTTCACTTTCTTGATCTGGTAAGTGACGCTTTGATCGGTTGTATAAAAGGCTGTTCTGACGTAACCCGTAATGGGGTGTCCTCAGATCTTTGTTTAGCGATAACGAAAACTAAGATCTGATTTTAATGAGATTGTAACATTTCAAAACAGCACCGACGATCATTGAAGTATTAAGAATTAACATGAAAGCTTCATAAGCCATGTGAGTGAATGCCTCAGTCAGCAATATTCCAGGAATACAGGCGTTTATCTGGGCTTCCATCTTACTTTCCTGGACTGGCAAAATGGGGTAAAAATAGTTTTGTTAAAAAACTGGGAATTTTTTTAAATAGGTCTTATTTGCCAAAGTTCTGGAGTATTTACTCCATTGTATTTTAAAACTATTCATTAATAAAGCCTCTCCGACTCTACTGATCCTTTATTAGTGAAATACAAGTCCCACTTCTTACAACCAGATAGTATAATAACGAGACTTGCACACTTGTTCACATGCGACTTTCGGTATTTAGGTGATGGCAGTATTGTCTTTCTTATAGAAAAAAATCAAAACTTATTATCTGTTCTGTATAATGTGCACCCTCCTTCACACTGCTGTGAAAAAAAGGTGTGCATTACAAACAAGAGAATAAGGCACCATTAACAAAGAAAAACGTGGAAAATTGCAACAGAAAGGTATGAAATCTTGCTCTGACGTCTCGTAGTAAAGGACATTTCAGTGGGACCAGTGATTCTTTTGTAGCACTAGTCCTAGCTTGGCTACCTGAAATCATGAACTCTGATTGCATTGTTATGCCACTAGCCTTTTGACCTGGTTGAAAGTCACTAGCCATATTTTGGCTTGTGTTAACATCTGAAACAGCAATTTCATGTTGTTCAACCAGTGACTTAAATCATATGCAACAGGTGAGGTTAATTAAATGGTTGAAATGGTCTTACGTTTCAGACAAAATTAATGCATTTACATAGTGATGTGCATGTACATGTGTGTGCTTGTACTAGTCTGTACTAAAGGGGCTTGCGACCTGTCTTTGTTTTTTCCCTTTGTGTTGTTGAGCATTTGATGCCTGGAAATTAAATTTGGAGCCAACACCATAAGCAAATCTATGAAACACAAAATGTTTATCCCCTAATTGCTGCACTGAACATGTTGAGGGCATGGATGTTTGAGATGGGCCAACACCAACCTTTCTATTCTTGTCAAGTTTTCTTGCATCTTGGCATTGGCACAATCGGCAAGAAATTTCAAATACTGAAATAAAGAAAATAAAATTTCTTTCAAAAGAAGTGATTTTCACATACTTTACTATGTAGTCATCATTATCTTCACTATATCATCTCATCGTGAAGCTCCATGCTAGTTTTGGAGTATTCATTAATACTTATTATCATATACCCATCAATGATATGAGACATTCAGCATGTGCGATAGAGCAAACTTTGAGACGGTCAAATCACAGGGGGCAACAAACTAGACCCGTATAACACCCTCAGAAGGACTGATATGGCATGTCAGTGCATTTTGAATGTGCGATTGATATCAACACAGGTGGTGAGAGATTAGAGTTCCGTCCCCTGGTGCTTTATATAGCTTTCCCGTGCCAATGTCTTCCATCAAGATGAGTGAGTGAGTGAGTTGGGTTTAACGCCGCTTTTAACAGTATTCCAGTTATATCACGGCATGTCAGCTTGATGTGGGAGGAAAGCTTGAAGTGATTCAGGTCTCAAGACGTTTACCAGTCCGGTGACACCCATGAGCACGGGTATGGTGCTGACAAACCTAGAAACATAATTGGGGTGAACCAGGATTCGAACCCACAATCACAGGTTTCTGGCGTGCCCAAGGGATGCAACTCTGCCCAAGGGACGCAACTCTGCACAGCGAATCGCGGCGCCTTAGAAGACTGGGCCACCCGTGCCCCCTCCGTCAAGATGAACATGTTAAAACAAACATGCATAGAATTTAGAGATGTTTTATGAATGGATGCATTTTACAATTAGATGTTATGGGTATATGATAAAAAGGTTATTATAGGTAGTTTTCATATCATACCCCAAATCAACCCTTAACCCCCATATCAGCCCTCCAACTGCCATTTATAACCCCTAAATTATGAGTGTCCCTAAGTGTATCTACATAGCATCACTAGTGCCATAAACCCATGTGTATATCCTGAGCATACAGATGCAATAATGCTTGTGACCACCTTTCATTAGGTACTGGGGATTTCTTTGAAATCCAACGACCTAAGCATTATCAGTGTGATGCTATATATCCTAGAAATCCCCAATACCTGCTGAAAGGTTGGCTCAAGGTCACTGTTTCACCAGAGGGTCACAAGCACTGAATGATCATAAGACACAAAGAAGTAGAGGAAGCAGCAGAAAGTGTCAAACAACTGAGGAACAGTTACAAATGTCCTTACATTATCTATAACAGTTTCTGTATTTCAATATGATAATGTCACAAATAATACATGATCCGATTATAAAAACTGGCAATTTAATATTGAAAAACATTTTGTAAGTAATGCATAGCACTTTTCCTGGAGTAGGTACATTGTGTACAGATGTCCTTCATAAACATCACCTCATTATGAATGGTTTGTTTCATTTGAGAACTTTAGGCCAAATACCTGTTCTTTATCAAAACAAAATCCTATATTACGAAAATAAGCATAACATTTTTCTCCCTTGATCAAGCTTATAGCCCATTGTTGCTATGACAACCCAAATAAGACTCTCACAAACCACCGAACCTCATGTGAGACCATCAATCTTCGATCCTTGGACAGCGGAACTTCCAGAGAATGAGTGCTTCTCACCGCCTGTATACACAGAGTAGCAGTGAGTGAGTGAGTTGTTACATACTACATTCAGCAGTTTTCCCACTATTTCATGATGACTTGTAAATAAAGTCTGGGCAAGACAAACTAGTGGTTGACAGCATGAGCAACAATCCATCAAGGAACTAACACACACAATCAACCACCATAACCCAAGTTAATAATGAGTTGCTCGCGTAAACATACACATGAAATCAGAGCTACAGATAAGCTGCGTATTTGAGTAAAATACCCCCCAAAACTACTCAAAACCCAATTAACTTGTGTACAGATACGCATGCATTAAATGGAAAATGCAATTGTTTGAAGAGAGCACTCGTAAATGCCAGATGAAGCTTTTTCAGCATGCGTACAACAGAGCTAATTTCCGAAACACAATTACAAGTTAATTTACTTTCCAAGTCAAGCCAATATTTAGGACCGTTATATACATCTTAAGCATTATTTCATTTTTTTTTTAAATTTCAAAATGCTTACTCATTTTGGGAACAACCAAATAGAGTGATGAATAGATGAGAGAAAAAATATTGGTTACCGAATGAAAAATGTAATAACCCAATTAAAATAGAAACCTTTGAGTAAAAACTCAATTGCTCCAAAAGTAACCTGGAGCTCTGTGACATGATTGTTGAAACCAACAGTATAACCATGATCACTATGACCATGTAATTTTCCAATGTAGCTCTTATATGTAGCTGTATGTCTCTCCAGATCTGTATTTACTGATCAAATAAGGCATCAAATACATGAACTCTACTGCAGTGAATAATACAAAAAATGTGCTTTGTCACTTACTGTAACTAAGATATGTATCACTGTTGGGAATTTATGCAATATGTAACACACTTGTGGCATTATGTGGACAGATGCAAATTTGAAAAAGGTTCACTACCCAAAAGAATGGTCCCAAGTGAGTAAAAATTACAGTGATTTAATATTAATGATACATGTGTATTAGATACCTATCCTGCTAGGAATGTCTGCAATTTCCTACTTGTATTACTTGTTCCAGAAACCCATAACACAGTGCCAAAACACTCCCCTACAGGAAGCCACCATCTCGCATGCTCCCCTCACGCCATGCAACTTCCCCTTCTTACTTCAACACAGTACAATGGAGGTCGACAGAAGTGGGGACGGATGGGTGGGTCCTAGAGACTTGTCTTAACAGGATGTTAGTATCTAATATCATAAATATTAGATGACTGTAAATGATTTCTTATCCTGCTACGACTGTCTGCAAGTATCACTCAGTAGGAGGAGGGTACTGGCAAATCTGCAAACTGAAGCCCAGGTGGTGACTGCCGAATGTTATAGACCAGACTCAAGTCATACTTCTTGTGGTCCAACTGTAGGGCGCTCTTCACTAGTCTCCATCTAGACCCACTGGAAATGGAGGTGAGACGGGGGACAAACGATAGGGACTGCAATAAGACCACACCACAGCCCTAACCCCATTGACCGGCCCAGGCAAGCAATGAAAGGTAAATACTTGGTGCAGGGAGAGACGGTAGCAACGAACCTATCATTTCCTTCAAGGATTGTTGAGTTGTTGCACGTACACAAGAGGTCCGAACTGGTGAAGACAATTGACGTCCTTGACAGAATGGTTCCTGGTATAACGGTTGGAGAAAGCAATGTCAGTAACCCTGAAACAAGCCTTGACAATATCTGTCACCAAACAGTTGGTGTGCAGAGCCAGCGTTGAAGCCAACGCCCTAATTTCATGAGGGTTATGGGTTTGAGGAGGCGGTAGACCAGCATGTTCATAAGCCTCCAGTATAGTCAGTCTCAACCAGTAAGCCAAAGTATTCTTGGAAACTTCAACATTAGAAGATTGAGAAGTAGGGAGAAACAATCTGATGCTGAAATGGCTTCGTGACTTTGATATCACGATGCAGCACTCGAACCGAGCACAAAGATAAATTTTCTACATCCTCATCCCCAAGAATAGAAGGTAGCTGCACAAGGGTGAAACAGCGGTCCTCCTGTCCAAGCTGTTGATTCTTAGCAACGAAATTCCAAAATAACCAAAAAAGCACTTTGCCATGTTGATGTCTACTCAAACTGGATTTGAGTCACATCCAAAGCAGGAAATTCACAAACCGATGTAGCTAAGGCAACCAGAAAAGCAGACTTCAGCGTAAGACAGTGGGGACTAGCTGATTGGAGGGGCTCATAATGCACAGTGACGAGCTGACGAAAATGACAGCCAAGTCCCAAACAGGATGACGGAACTTTTGGACCTGGTCTTCTTGTCGCCATAATTTCAGGAGCCTGGCATAAATTGTGAGCCTTAGAAGCTTTCAATGTAAGTAGCTATAGTACACTCTCTTAACTTCTTAGTCGACAATAATTAGATAATTAGTGACAATTTCAGCTAATACAGTATAACAGAAGGATTAAAACACTTCTCTGCATAAGTCACAAACATCATAGAGAGACCTAGTGGACTTGTGATGGGCTGGACCCACAGCATTAATCGCACTCGCAGAACAACCTCTCTTCCTTACGGCTTGCTGATTGATCGACTCTGGAGACAGATGGTGTTGATGGGAGGAAGGATTGCGTACCACTATGGTAACCAGACAGGACGACAGACAGACAGCAGGAAGAGCTCCGGAAACCACACCTGAGCCGGCCAGTAAGACGGACAGTGGTTGTCACAGAAATCTTAGGCAATACTCGTTCAAGCAATACCCGTGGAGGGTAAGTGTAGGCATGGAGACCCTCTCAACTGATGAACAGAATATCGCGATCGACTGCCATCTCATCCGGAGTGAGAGACATGAACACCAGCAGTAATAAGCACGTAATAAGTCCATGTTTGCAGTTCCCAACTTGTGCACTGGTGGCAGGAATGCATTGGAGTGAAACATCCATTTCGGTGCAGCCAGTTTCCCAGGCTGGAAAAAGGTGTTGGCCAGAATATTGGACACTCCTGGTATGTGGCGAGCCCGAACATGCATCTGAAGAATGTCTATCATGTGCTGAGTTGATCCCTGTTTGTTTATATGTAAATGCCACAGTGGAGTTGTCCGTCCTTATCATGACTTGTGCAGAATGGAGAGAAGTCCACCAACGCTGCACAGCCCTGAAGGGCTGCTAGAAACCTAGTTTGTTCATGTGCCAGTCTCAAACTTGTATTTCCCACAATCCCTACGCTGTTAGTTGGTCGAGATGTGACCCCTAACCAGTCAGAGAAGCATCTACAAACAGATGATGGGTTGAAACAAAGTCTATCAAAGAAACTCTGTTTGAGGTTGTGAATCCTCCTGAGTTTTGTGGAAACTAAGATAATGTTGGAATAAAACCCCACATTCACTGTGTCTCTTAATGTTGTACGTGGAAGACCTCTTGTCCCCAACCAATCTGCCAATTCCTCAATCTGCAACCGCTCAGCAGGCATCAGGGGTCTAGGTGACAGCATCTCAAGTTGACTGGAAGCTGACATTGAAACTCCTGGCTGCTGCTGCGGCTGCCTCTGTTGCTGCAGGTCAGATTGCTGCACCAAGGACGGGACCACCGCTGAAATCTGAGCTAACAATCAAGGAACTGTACCCTGTACTCTTGCCGTAGACATAGGAGGGACCAGAGAGTCCCTGAATGGAGGATGCGGGAGAGGGGGTCGCAACCCTCCATGTAGATCTTACCTGACCCAGCCATGACAGATTACTGAAGGCATAAAGAAAAAAGTGGTATCAAAGACTAAACATACCTAAAAAATCTGATAAAACATATCAAAATGCACAACAATAGCAATAAATGCAAAAATAACACTTCAAAACACAAGCCCACTTGAAGAAAAAGGAGTAAAGCTGAGAGTAAATACGACGACAAGGCTCACGTCCCACTCAAACTGACTTAACCTCCAACCACTCAAAACTACGAACGTAAAAGACAACCTAATACCCCTAAGGATATACACACCTCTTAAACGATAAGAAAACACAGTTGAGAAAACCTAAGTCACACATCAAAAGGATTCGAGAGACAACCGTAAACCCCCACCGCACAGTCCGAGCGATAAGTAGGAGGAGAAGTTGCATGGCATGAGGGGAGCATGTGCAGTGGTGGCTCCAGTGGGGGAGTCTTTTGGTGCTGTGCTGTGAGATTTGGCAACAAGTGTAATAGCAGGATAAGAAATAATGACATGTGAGTACATACACAATGGCTCCACACATTATCTGGAGTTTTGCTACACACATTGTACATTGTCCTCGTAAGGCAATCAGGTGCCTCCAACATGGAACTGACTCCAATCAGTGTACACGTCACTCAACCCTCACCTGCCACATCAGTCCCACATGAGACAGCCTATAGGCACTTGCAGTAATGGATTAATTCATTGTTGTTAATGATATACCACCTATATGACAGTGGTCTAATTGTGACCAGTTATTGATATTACAAGCAACGTCCCACGTCACTGGGGTTTGATAACATGAACCAAACTGCTGACTCTGACCCTCTGATCCATTAAGTCGCTTTCATGAATATGATAGGTTTCTGATAAGCAATTCTATCACAGGATCCTCACAGGCAGAGTGAGTGAGTTGGGTTTAACGCCGCTTTTAACAGTATTCTAGTTATATCACGGCGTGGCAGCTTAATGTGGGAGGAAAGCTCAAAGTGATGCAGGTCTCAGACGTTTACCACTTTGGTGAAACCCACGAGCATGGGTATGGTGCTGGCAAACTTCGAAACATAATCAGGGCGAACCTCTGAGATGGAATAATGTAATGGTTACTCTTCTATGTCTTCTGGCAATGTGGGTCAATGGGAAACTATTCACCCACAGAATGAGAAGCATTGGGACCCAAAAGCTGAATGGTTAACATACAAACACATAGATTATCTTGCCCAGAAAACCTTCCAGTTAGACTGGTTTTACTTAGGAAATAAACATACTGTGTTTTCAATGTAGATATAGGTTACCTGTAGATTTAACTGCACTAAATTGAATTTGGAACCGAAAGCACAGGTTAAATCTACAGGTAACCTATCTGAACATTGAAAACACAGTATGTTTATCTCCATTCTACCATGACTAAATAAAACGCTAACATGAGGTGAGCACCCTTAAAGAAACTAAGCACGCTTTGCAAAACTTCATTCCACACCACACGTCACCATTATGACGTCATATCGTTGATTGTGACGCAAAAGATATGACGTCACAATCATACATAGATAAAGCGCCAAATTCCAAGCTCTCTATTGTCCCCAAAACTTAAAAAACATTCTATTTGTAGAATCCTATCACATTTTCTGCACGAAATGTATTGCCACACATCCTATGAAAATTGAAGTAACTTTGCATTTTGTAAATTGTAATTACGGATATAGTTATTTAAATATGCCTACCGACAATAACTGAAAAAAGTACTATTCTTTTGAATATTAGCTTTTGCGGAGATGTGGACGTCCAACCAGCTATTTTAATCACAGAGGTTTATTGTGATTTAATAGTCCGTGACTGACCAATCACAATTGAGTAAATTCGAAATTTATGGTAGAATTACTGTTTCTATTTTGGAGAGCATCCCAGCAAGTAAGACAGGTTTAACTTACTGTTATTATCTTGCCTCGAGAACCGATGGTTATGCCCGAGTTCCTGAACCCTGAAGCAACTGCACAGGCATGCTGAAGGAGAAAACACATGCCCTTGTCACACACCCAGGCAGTGTTGACATAACACAGTTATTCTACTCAATCACTGCAGCAGGAATTCCTTTGTACATTATGGTATGAGACAAACAATTTCTCAAGGCTTGGAAATCAGCATTTAAAATTCATGTTGGTTTTGCACTTCATAGTATGTTTATTGCCTGCATAAAGAAATAACAATCATGATAATATGTAACATTTCAGTTCAATGGAAAATATTATTTACTACTAAGCCCAGACCCATCTTCAGAGCTCTGAGCTACTCTTTCAGACACACAATCATGTGTGTTCAGATCTCAACACAAGATACCTCTTCATAGCCATCACATAAAATCCTTAACTTTTGGAAAGAGATCCATTCCATACGTGTACCAGCCACTAAAGACTTGCCACTTGATTGTCAATCATCACAAAGCCTGTCTGTTTTCAGGAAAGGGACAAAAAACATATGCTCCGAGAAACCCTTTCCCTACTAACTTTAACTCTCTTTCACATGCACAGAGAGTACACAAAATTGTGAATCATGAAAGATTACTATTATTATTATTATCCTGCCAAAATCAAATATCCTGATTTAACATGTAACAAGATCTCACCAGACTCTGGGCATCTGCCACTGACCGGCACTGGACGTGGAGGACCATGGGCTCGAATTTAAACACAGCGTCACCCTCCAGGGCCCTGAGACTGCTCACCTGCGCAGAACATCCGCTAGCATCAGGACAACATGTCTTGCTAATGTTCCTCAGATCTAGTACACTAGCAGCTACAGTTGGTAGTTCCTTCGACAAGTTCCTCCTGGAGGACCACGCAAGGATACCTTGCAGGGGATATCATGCTAGAGAGTGATTTGGGTTTAAGTGTTAACGCCCCTTGGAACAGTACTGCACTTTCAGTTCTCACATGAAGGAAACCCTGAAGTAGTGGGGTCATAGACATTTACCACTTTGGTGAAACCCATGAGTATGGTTATGCCAAGAAATGCAGTAACAGCGAATATAGGATTCAAACCCATGATCATATGTTTCTGTGACACCTAGAGGGAGCAAATCTGCACCGTAGCCCCGGCGCCTTGGACAATGTGGCCATCTATGCCCCCTCACAATAATGATGATAACTTACAGGCAATTAATACAGTATAGAATATAGGATACTAGAAACTGTTTCAGATGAGTGCCTTCTATTTTCAGTTCAAGTTAAGGTATATTAAACTATTAAATAATGTATACTGTTTGGTAAACTTATTTAAATTATATGATTAATCATCACATCTACTTTCATACTGAAAATCATACTTGTGACTGCCACACCAGTGAAAAAATAACTGCTTATTTACCATGATTCCTTATTTGAGAAAAATTAAAACAAAACTTAACTAATTTCTTTTTATGGATGATGGATCATGATCCAAGTCATAAAATAGAAAAACAAAATCATTTGCCATTACCATGACCGTGTTACTAAGCATGCTAGGAATTGATAAATGGTGTTGAGAATATGTCTTTCCACCTTCTGAATAGATCTGTCAATGATTGGTCATCACAATAATTGACATGACAGATAATGTAGATAATGGGTTACCACTTCTTCTGGTTGGACGAAATCATGAGAGGTAAACAGCCATTTACATCCCTTCTTCTTCACTCGGTTCCCTGCGTCCTGTGTGAACAGAGAAAACATGACAAAGGGTGACGGTCATCCTGAAGATGTGAACTTCCCGCATTAGGGCCCATGTGTAATTATGCTCATGGGCTTAGAAACGGATATAATTCTATGAATACATGAAATTCGGATATTTATTTTGGAGAGATTTAACTTCATGACTTAAATCCCTTCGATAGTTATTACGTGGTGATGCACTACACGAGGCAGATCTTAATGTGCATTCAACAGTAAGTGCAAGTTTCAAGGTTTGCATCCTATGAAGTTATTTCCAATTCAAAGTTAAAACTTATGTTATATACTTTCTCAGTTAAAACAGCTTAACAGTTTCTTATTTTTTCAGCATAATTATTTAGGTAAGAAAGCTTAAGCACTTCTGAAATTGAGCCCTAGGCTTAATTTTGGATAACATATTTTAAAAGAGAAAGTGCTATTTCCCGTAATTAGGCCCGGGGCTTAAATACAGGCAGTCCTGGTACAATGTTAATGCTCATCAACACCATTCACAGAAGCCACAGAAATACAGATTATAAGCATGATATTAAATATGATAAACAATCTTTTCAAAAGTTCAATGTTGCATTATCAAACAACTGTATAAACATGATAAAATAAGGATGTTTGGTTTGTTTTTTTGTAAATTCATTTTAAAGATAAATGGTAATTTGATGTATGTATCTAGAAAAAACGGCTATGTGGAATGAAAGACAAAATTGATGCAGGTAATAAATGTTTACCACTTCAGTGAAACCAAACAACTTGGAATGGTACTAACAAACCTAGAAACATAATCAGGACAAATCTGGGATTTAATTCCAAAATCAGAGGTTTCTTGAATACATCCTTATACAGATAAAGGCACTGCCTTAGACAATTGACTGTGATTAACTGACATACTATCACTTAGTGGACTAAGAGGTGGTATAATTAATGTACACAAGATAAAAAATAAACTCCTTTTGTTTAGTTATAATCGGACAGAAGTCACATCTGCCCCAGAAAGTTTCACGCTATCCTCCCCCAAAAAACTAATGTTCAAAACATATTAACAACATCATATCTCACATGATCTAATACATTAAAATGCCACCTACATGAGCATGATGACGAAACAGAAATACAGAAAGAACAAGTTTAAGTGAGTATGGTTTTAAGCTGCTTTTACTCAATGTGGGGAATAGAACCCAGGCGTTTTGCATGACGAACGAATGCTGTAACCATGGTAACCACTAGGCTACCTCACCACCCCGAACAACTTCAAAATCTTTCCAAAATTTTGTGTTGTTTTGTAAGACATATACTTTCAATACGTACATATGAATTTGTATATGCAACTGTACAGTATATAGATTAGAGTAGATCTACAGCTAAAACCATCAAGGTTTGAACTGGTCTTCCCAATTTTAAAGAAAAAGTAAGCTGTACGATATTGTTGTGGGTACAGGACCATAGGGCCTATCCGAGTCATTTTGTCACAAGTGTGGGGACTCTCTTTTCTCATACTCTCTTTCATTTGTGTTTATTTGGTAATTTGTTTCCATAACAAACTTATATGCCAATGCAGGGGTCCGATAGCAATGTTTGAATGCCGAGTAAATTCGACTAACATGACCAAAGTGAAGTTTTCTGGCAAATTAGGATCCCATTGAATACGCAATTCATAACAATTATAATATATTCATATTGGGTAGGAAATAATACTAACATTGATATTAACAAGAAAACCAGTGCTGTCTCACCTGTTCAAACAAGAGTATTCTTCCTGAACACGAGCTGGTTGTGAAATAGTTGGACTGGTCATTTATCAGCTTTACAAGATCAACAATCGGGACGTCGATAGATCCCTTCCTGCTCAAGTCTAGTCCGTCAAAACAACTTTCCCTCTGTTTATCAAATGATTCTGAGGACATCGTGCATTTGTGTTATCGACATGTCCACGGTTTTCGCTTGCCACGCATGGTAGGTAATAGAGTTACTTCCCTTTAATACTCCATGCAGCGACAGCGTCGTACAAAACTATGTTTAGAGCTTATCGTCTACAGGTGTCACAAAAATGGACAACGCCTAAAACGGACCAGGACAATTTTGTCAAAGCGTCCAAATTTTCTTTTCAGAACAGACCGGTTATAAAATCAATAAATACATCCGCAAGTTATCCTTTCTAATTGATTTCCATTTTGAAGTTAGTTATAACCATATATTGAATTTCTATCTGGATTATTTTAATAACTAATTTCTGAGCATGCAAGGACAGGAGAAAATGGCCACAGACAATTTAGAGAAAATGGCCCCAAATGTAATGAAAATGGTCCAAAATTTAATGAAAATGGCCTGTATTTGTTTTTAGAAAATTAACCCACATTTTTATGGGAAATTGAACCTCATTAACTATCACAAATCCGTAGTGATTTAGTATATTTAGTGTCGAGACATTCAGTGTATAATTACAAAAAAATGTATTGTTAAGCTATTCTGCACTGTTCTTTGTGTGTCATGGTGACATCTCCAGTAGCAGTGGAGGTTTCGGACTGCCACCCCACCTCAAACTGAATATCCTGCATCACAGCCTCCACGACTTGTAGACATAGCACCTTCCTCAACACAGACAGCAAGTGAAGGGGAAAAGTCCTCTTGCTGGGTGAGCTCCTTGCACTGGGTGACAATATTTCCAGGTTCATATACTCTGTGAGTCCATCACTGACAAGAGTCACAAGATAAAAAATGATGATTTCTCCTGACAGTCTTCTTACGCGTGTAGCACTAAACAATACTTTTGATTTTAGCAGCGGTCATTTTTGTTGCTTTAAATGTAAAAGAGGTCGCCTTCTGCCTTAGCAATTTCTGGCGACCTGCCCTTCTTCCGGACACCTGCATGAGTAGGGCACACATATGTATTAGAAATTTTATTTGGTTAAATTTTCTGTTTTTGTATTGATACGATTTGATTTTGGTCACATTTTATATATGTTGCGTTTGAGCACTGCAGCTAGTTAAAATGGCACTAATCTCCACTGTTTCCATGTGTAATTTGGGTAAACTGCAACGTCAGACTGATGAGATTCCATTGAACACAATCATGTTTATTAAAGTCAGCAAACATTGAACAAATAATTGCCCTCTGTCTCAGTGAGCAGGTGAGTAAGATATTTCAATTTACAGAATCAACTATTGCAGTTCATTTTGCCTACAGTCAGAGTACCTATAATTCACATTGCCTACATTCACTTTACCAACAGATTGCCTACAGATCTTTTTGCCTACACTCACTTTGCCTACAGTCAGATTGGTCTTACATACGGAAAACCCCTTCACTATTATCTCCCTTTGACCATGCATTTATTTTACTACATATTTGGAGATTGTTTGGAGAAGAAATTCCCTGGAACCAAGAAGAAAAGGTATATACTATTTAATCCCGAATTGTCACATAGGACTGACCATACAACCACTACAAAATCAAAATTCAATATAATAGTTAACTAAAACGTATTCAATAATGTGGACAAAAAGTCTCATACACTTTGATATGAAGCAGAACATTCGACTAACAAAAAGTCTCCTATAAATAACATCATTTAATAAATACAAACGCTCTTAGGGAACCCTCGAGTAATAAGGAAATTCAAGTCTCCGAGACGGAGAAGGCATGGGCTGAGAAGAGGTGATAATGGGACGTAGGTGATGTTTGTATAAATATGTGCTGTGGGGTATGTATGACAGGGGGGCATGGGTGACCCAGTCGTCTAAGTGAGTGAGTGAGTGAGTTTTGGTTTTACGCCGCCTTAAGCAATATTCAAGCAATATTGTACCCATATCGGGAAATCGAACACTAGGCTACCCAAAGAAAAAAAAGGGGGGGGGGAGGGAGATTGCCCAGTCGTCTAAGGCGCCGCGATTCGCTGTGCAGCTGGGGCTCCTGGACACACCAGAAACCTATGATTGTTGGTTCGAATCCCGGTTCACCCCGATTATGTTTCTAGGTTTGTCAGCACCATACCCGTGCTCGTGGGTTTCACCCAAGTGGTAATCGTATGAGACCTGCAACACTTCGGGCTTACCCCCCACTTTAGGCTGACACGCCGTGATATAACTGGAATACTGTTAAAAGCGGCATTAAACCCAACTCACTCACTCACCCCTCAAGTTCAGCAATCGTAATATGTCTGACTATATACTGTCTATCTGACAGTATAAGTTTTTTCTATCTCCTTGATTGAATCTTCACTGATGGAAGTTGAAGGACGTCCAAACCTAGGGTCATCATCAAAGCTTGTTCTCCCAGTCTTAAACATAGCTGCCAAATGTTTAACAGTGGAATAGCTAGGGGACATATCCCCATACACTTGTGACATGCTGTCATGAATTTCTTGGGGAGTACTGGTCTCAAAAGTAAAAAAAACCTTGATGACATTTTGGTACTCGTTCTTTTTCATTTCTGTGTCTGGGTCCACCCTATCACATTCAACTGGCTGTTACTAATATACAAGCGGCCTTAACAGACCAAAATACACTCACAAATAACAACTAAAACAATTTACTACATTGACTAGTTCACTTTGTTATGGCCCATCGTTGAGAGTAAATCAGGCTCAGAACTTTTTGACCAGCCCTCGTGAAAGGTGTCGTGGGGATTGCATCTTCCCGAGGCAGGGGAGTTATCCGACTATGAAAGTCCAGTTTCCACCCTTGCCAAACTAGGTAAAATAGTGACATGACACTAGTAGATGGAATCTGATTGGTCAGTAGGAGGAACATAGAAGGGATATAACTCGTAATAGCCACTGGTGGCGCTACGATCGAGCCTGGAAATTTTAGCCTAGTTCGGCAAGGGTAGACCTGGACTTTTATAGTCAGTTTAACGCCCTTGCTTCGTTAAGATGGATGGTTGTGGGTCAGTGTCGATCTCAAGTATCTCTGTTGCAAGCCTGCTAATGTGGGGATTGGGTGGGCATCGTACTTCAATGTCGTACATCGTTGCTCATCCTTTCGATTGACCCGTGAAAATCCGGGTTAGAATAGGTCTTCAGCAACCATCCTTGCCGTAAGAGGCGACTAACGGGATCGAGTGGTCAGGCTCGTTGACTTGGTTGATGCATGTCATCGTATTCAAATTGCGTAGATCGATGCTCATGATGTAAATTACTGGATGGTCCGATCCTGACTCGATTATTAACAGACCGCCGTCATATAGCTGGAATATTGTTGAGTGCGGCGTTAAAGAACAACAAATATCCTTTCGGTTACAGTGTTTTTCTGGTCTAGACTCGATTGTTTACTGGCTGTCTTGAAAAAAACTGGAATATTGTCGGTAGCAGCGTTTAACAACATTCACTCACTCACGGTGCTGCAAATTAATCTTTGAATGTGTTATCCGGATTAGATGTGTCTGGTCTATTCACCTCGCATACAGTCGTGATTTGTTTTGCTGACCCACCACTTCACTCCCCGTCTTAATCTCATATACAGCGCTAGACATTGCCACTAGTCCTGTCGTCCTTGCCAAACTGCCCAATAGTTAAGGTATCATAAGGACTAGTAGAAATTTGCCACCGGAGTCCAGCTTGTGAGAATATTAAAAACACCGTGACAATTAACCATCTTTATAACCAGATAAAGGAGATCACTATTCCAACGCTATTGCATCCATGTCCCTTCTCAGTGTGCATTCACCACTCGTTATCAGTACCGCATGCAACTCGCACGAGCACACAACAGTCGGACATAAACACCGGAGACGTTATACTGAAGCAGGTCGTTTTGAATTATTTGAACAATGACCACAGACAATATTTATATATTGACTGTCATAAGAAAATAAATCATACCAATACGGGTTGTGGCCAGCTATCACATTCCTGAGTAAGGAACGATAACTAATGCGTTTATTCAAATGTATTTAAGAAGACATGCTGTCTTGTAAATGATGATCTGTCTTGTTCTGCGATGTGCTGTGCTTGAAGCGTTGTTTAGTGCTAAGATGTGATTTACTTACTATGTAGGGATGCTGCCCTTTGCCATGCCATGCTGACATCATTACAATTGTAATGCCATTGGTTTTCCTAGGTCAGTCTTTTGTTATTTGTCGATAGCCTGTTGAAAAATTATCACATGCTCAATCGTCTAAAAAGTTTTATTGTGTTTAACACAATGTGATAATTGTCAGTTGTACATTCTAACGTGGAAGAAATACGGTTCAGATGACGTCAAGTTTCAATGATTATTTCCCGCGAAAATCATCTAGCTATCGTCTGCTAAGGTGAGCAGACGATAATTTCCCGACTGCGTGGATACCCCAAATAGGTGGTTGTTGGGGGTGCTCGGCTACTCGCCCCTCTTGCCTACCTACGCGTTATGAATTTGTCGAGCGTAATATTAAATAAGCCAAAACACAACAGCACATTTAGCTGGCTAGAGAAAGATGCCAGGCAGCAGATCGGAGGGAACTATTGTTTCGGGACAATTGGCTGTATTTGCGAATCAAAGTCCGCTTGCTCGGGAAATTAACACAGATATGAGAAAACGCATCTGCGGGTCTTGGCCGGGGTTAACACAAATGGATATATTGAAGGCACGATAACGGAAAAGTGTCAGCAAAATCGAAAGTAATTTATAAAAACTCGTCAAGGGTAAGACAGACAGAGGACTATCCGCCTCCACGCCCGTGGGCTTGCAGCTCAACGCAGGGTGTAGCTGATGAGGGCAGGGTGAGGGCGAAGGGGATTTAAAGTCGCGTTTAAGATTAATGCACTTATATAGCGTGTGTCTGCGTGCATGCGTGTGTATGTATGTTTGTGGGTGGGTGGGTGCATGCATGCGTGCGTGAGTGCGTGCGTGCGTGCGTGCGTGCGTGCGTGCGTGTTTGTGTGTGATGCCAGTTTTATAGTGCTAACCCACTGAGATACTCTGCTGGGATATGATGTGGGTGGGGGTGAAGCTGATGTGCGTGGGGTGCTGCTAATGAGTGTGTTGATGGGTCTGATGATGAAGAGTTGCAGCTAGTGAGGGTGGAGTGGAGCTGATGAGGGTAGGGGGT